AAATAATTTAACAAGTTTTTTTCATGCCCCCTTGAGTTTTTGCGCCCCTCTCAGATGGAATTATTCACCTGCTCTCCATGTGGTAGTGGCACTCAATTGGAAATATGTACTGATCTTTTGCATAATTGGGCTTTTTATTAAGTCTTTGTGCGTTTTTGTCCAGAACTTTCTTGTTCAGTTTCTGATCTCCATTAAATAAAATTACTTTATAAGTATAATCAAGCAGTGACAGATAATGAACAGTCCGACATTTCTCGGCGGGGGTGGGTGTGTAGAAACCGACGCCTCCAAATTCACGTTATTTGTTTAAAATACATTTATTGTCTATACCAAAGTTAACGTATGTGGCTAAAAGCTGAGTGTGTGGTGGGGGGGGGGGGTTCAAATGCATGCAAATCCGCGTCTGTGTGTGAAGATGAATCCTAGGCCTACTGGTTTTCAAATTCGGTGTGAAACAATGGGATCGCAGGTGATGAATCCCTGATTTTCAGTATTGAGCATTTTACGTGCATGCTAACGTGTACGTTGTATCTAGATTGTTTGCCCCATCCGAACAACTAGACGTTGTTCTTTGTAGTCCCCAGGTTATTAAATAATCATTAGCCTACTTTCACTTTCGATTTATAAAGGGGAAAACCCGAATTCGTTTCCGCAAAATGATAATAGAAACCGCCAGAGAGCTTTTCCAAGAAACCGAGCCTTTGTTGCTCCCTTAATACGTCGATCTGAAGAACATCAAATACTAGCAGGAACTGGGATTCAAATCAACTACGGTAAGAACATGCTTGTGGGTCTCCAGGCAACCGCCTAGCATATCCATTATCCATGTGTTAAGACGGCTAATGAACATTTTAACGTCAGACCCTAAAGGTTGATCCGGGAATTCCCGGATTTGATCTCTGTGTTGGCCGAGAAATCGCTCAATCAGGTCAGTGTGGTTCAGGACGGGGGCTTGGCATGGGAACAGTGTTAGTTGTTCGGATGGGATGAAAAAAACCTATGGATCTGTGTGCACATTTGATGAAGAGTTCATTTGCGTGATTTTAATCCCTTTAAAACTACCATATTGTAAACATTGAATATCTAGCTACCAGAATTCACTTTGATTTTTTATACCCTAGAAACAAAATCATTAAATCAGAGTTACGGCCCTTGATCACTTAATTGAAATATCTTGTGGACGCGCTAAAGGTTAAAGTTAATGGACGGAGGGCCAGACAAGGACAGCTGCCTAGGCGTTCTGATGGGACGAAAAACCGAGGTCCCGTGTACACATTGGCGTGCACGTAAAAGATCCCTTGGCAGGTGGAATTCGATATAAGAGTAGGCCGTAGCGCGCCGCTGCTCGGGCAAAATTTCCCTCATAACACACTGTATGGCGTAGGCCTATGCCCGTCTTCATTAGCCCAGTTCGGAGCAGAACAGTAGGACGTTAAACCCCATTTCATTTCATTTCATTTAAAGTTAATGTCGGACGACTTAGCTGCTGTGAGCGTATGTTTCGTTACTTGGAAACCAATCATTAGCCTAATTTCACTTTCGATTTATAATTGGAAAATCGAAACTCGTTTCCGCAAAATGATAATAGAAACAGCCAGAGAGCTTTTCCAAGAAACTGAGCCTTTGTTGCTACCTTATTACGTCGATCTGAAGAACATCAAATACTAGCTGGAACTGGGGTTTAAATCAACTACGGTAAGAACGATCTGGTAACAATATTGGCCCGCCAAACTATAAACACACAGAGTATCTTCAAAATGTTCAGTCGAGGATCTCAAAGGACTACTCTTTAAAATCAAGCTCTTATAAGTCCATGGTTTCATTCACGTTGGCATTTTTATACGCCCCACATTGAAATATGAACGTATATTGTCTTCGCCCCCCCCCCCCCCCCCCGTATAGTCCGCAGGTCCGTCCGTCCGGCGTCCACGCTTTAGGGGAAAAAATCAATATTCAATTGACTTTAAATTTATACACAGTGATTAAGAGCATGAGACAAAGAAGCATATTGATTGTCAACAATTTCCGATAATTACTACCTGACTTATGGCCCTTGATCAATTTTAATTTTAAAATCTTGTGGACACTCTAGAGGCTAAAGTTAATATCCGATTGACTTTAAATTTATACACATTAATTAAAGGTCATGAATTGAAGAGGTATGTTGATTTTCAACGATTACCGATAATTACTGCCAGAATTATGGCCCTTGATTCCTAAGAATCCTATTGATTTTCAGCGATTTCCGATGATTTTTTCCAGAGTTATGGCACTTGATTACTTTGAAAAATCTTGTTAACTCTCTAGAGGCTAAAGAGAATATCCGATTACTTCCAGAGCTATGACCCTTGATATATAATGTTTTGTACATGTATACTAAAAATAAGTCTAAGGCAGAACTATTAGAAGTCAAATAAAATAAAACCAAGTACGAACAATCCAAACCATTAGACAAAATTCGAAGTCCTAATAAAAACGGTATAGGCAAAATAGTGTAATAAGGTAAAATAGTGTAATCAGCATATGGACTGTTCACCGTGTACAAAATACACGACAAACAATGGCAACAACAAATTCTTAATGAGTTGTTACTGAGAATCAGATTTTCGTTATTGGCAAAAGAAAAATATGTTGACTGAACGGACGACTTAGTAGCTGTGTGCGTATGTTTCGTTGCCTGGCAACCTATCTTTTAATTAGGTTGTTAACTGGCAAACCAGTTTTATCCGTTGAAAATCAAAACGCCTAAAAATGTTTCTGCTACAGAAGGGCCGGTGAAAAGCTTGCACCGGAGAAGACACTTGTACCTATAAAAGGCACCTTTACCTGTGAAAAGTGTGCCAGCACCAGCACCAGCACCAGTTGTCCCTAATGTAGCGGAGAAAGAAGTTGAAAAATCAAAACCTGTGGATCTCAAACCAAAAACAGAAAAAACTGAAGAGAAAACAGATAAAATTAAACATGGTAAGTTTTTCAACATGGTGAAATTTATTCTCAATTTTACATGTGTTCATAATCCATTGGTCTGTTTATTATCATAGTATCAGGATCATTTAAGATGATAAAAGCTGAAAGATACATTATGTAAGGATTAGATAAAGAGCTTGTTGTTCTTCCTATAATATTTATATTAAAGATGCATTATGTAAGATTTAGATAAAGACCTCGCCGTTCTTCCTATATAATATTCAAAAACAGATAATGGGAAATAAATAAATTGAAAATGAAAAATAGATACATTGACATTAAAATTTTAGCAAATTATTTTATTCTGTGTAAAGTTATGAATGTCTGAAGTTTTGATTATCTATTTTATTGTTAAACTCTAATATGACCACTGTGTTCTTATGTACTTAAAATCGCAGCCATCCGATAATCTAGGGGGTTGATTATAGGCCTTTCATGTTAATAAATGTTTAAACAATAATTTATATAACATTTGAAGCCGGAAAAATACCTGCAACGACAGATTTGGCTCTTACATAATACATTATAGTTGGAATTCAATTGTTGTCCGGGCAAAATTTATCCCACAGCACATGATATGGCGTATGCCCGTCTTCATTAGTCCAGTCGGCATTCTTCACACCGAGATCCATCTACTTCTCTCCTCGAGAATTGATCTCTGCCCTTACTGGCCGCCATATCCCAAAATTAGTACATGCGTTTTGTAATGCGTTTCTACTCCGTTTCACATCGGTCATAAACACAAAGACTAAGGGGGAGGGACAGGGGGAGGGAGGGACAGATGGGTGGAGGAAGAGAGGGAGGGACAGATGGATGGACAGACAGGAAAGGGCAGACAGAGAGATGGAGGGACAGACGAAGGGACAGATAGGAGGGACAGATGGATGGAGGGAAAGGCGGAGGCGATAGAGGGAGGGACAAACAGCAGGAGGGAAAGACGGAGGGAGGGAGGGACAGGGGGCAGATGGGTGTAGGGAGGGAGGGAGGGGAGGGGAGGGGACAGATGGATGGGTAGAGGGAGGGACAGACAGGTCCTGTGTACACATTGGCATATGAAAAAGATCCCTTGACAGGTGGAATTCCAAGTAAGAGTAGGCCACAGACAGGCCAAAATTTCCCTCTCCATCTTCATTAGCCTAGTATGAGTAGAACAGTATTGTCTTCTCCATTTCATTTCCTTTCTTTTGTCAGTTGTACAGCATTGAGGGGCTAAAAGCAAGTAGGACTATCTAGTTATTAGGATGGTGTGCAAAACAAATAAATATGCATAGCCTAGAGGCCTACTGCCGAGTATTGGCCTTGGCCTTGCTTGACACAGATGGAAATCGAAGGAGTATGGTGTAAATGCGACACTAGGCCTATTATACCCAGTTACCAGTTGGTGCAGAAAATTAAGTTAAACCCCATCATTTGATTCATTTATATTCTTGGGAAGAGCTGTGAACAGGGCAGAGAAAGCACGTGGGTATGATGGGTAGCCTACTCCGGATTGTGGCTTATTAATTAAAGTTAATGATAACATATGGAATTATGAATCAAATTCATCTTGCGAAATTAATTCCAGTTAACACTTTAGCCTACATTCTGCAAAAATGCAATGTATAAAAGTTTTTTAGAATAGAAACTAATACGTACAAAAGAAGCCATTATGGTTACAAGAAAGTTTTTTTAATGTGTTAAAAGCATGTCGATAGGTTACTATTGACCAATTAAACAACAGTTAAGGAATGAATATTGTTCTTATTTTATTGCGCTAACAGCGTCTGACAAGAATACCGTGCGGTATGACGGTATACCTTGTCACTACTTGTAAGCGTTGACAATGGTTAACATTTTTCCCGCTACAGGCGTATGACCTCAAACGTATCGGGTGCGAGAGACAGGCTTTTTTGCGTATAGGACGCCATTTTGTCACGTGACAAACCCTTTTACTCTCCGCTTAACGGGGAGTAAACGGGTTAGTCACGTGATGCGACTCGAGTCAGTCATATGACCAACTCGATGTCTGCGATATCACTTCGGTGGAAGCGGACGTAAAATACAACTAACCCATCATCAAAACGCGAACGGTCTGGTGTCGACTCGAGTGACTCGGGTGAACAACGAAAACCTTACCTATAATTAGGAGTAGGGTCGTCTCATGCGTCAGTGAAACGTCTATACATATTCGGCGAATATCGGTAGAATCCCTCAACCCCAGCACCAAAAAAAAAACCGAGGTCTGCCGAATGCGTCTATTTGTGTGACGTCAGCGCATGGCGGCAGTGACAAAATGAAAATGGACGAAAACGATGTAAATATTGAAAACAAGTGGCGATGTATCGTTTTGTGGGAGTATTTATGCAAATCAAAACGACTAGATTGAAGAAAAAACATATCTGAGTGAATTGACAGAGGTTTGGTTGCCTGACATTACGAATTGTTGAAAAAAAAACGAGCCGAAGCGAGAGCAGGTAAGATCGAGTTTTCAACAGGCATTATTGCATTCCTGTTGTTTTTTATTATATATTGTCTGGTACGACATGGTGTATGCATATATATACGGATAGAAGGTCCGATTCCTGTGACCTGTCCAATAAAAATCAGAACACATGGTAAATGCTGCTGTCCTGGCAAACTTCTCATCACTCAAAAAATAACTTTACCAGTCTCAAAATATTCAACGTACTGTGTGTGTTGACGTTTAAAGTTCATTCAGTTTCATTAGTTTCAAAGACTAAAAAATATTTTGATTATTTTAGGCTCAGGCATCACCTTCACCACCTCAACAGAAGGAAATTTGTGCACAGTTTGCCTCGCAAGTAGCTGCCACATTACGACACAACTCGACCAAACAACAAAGCTCAACTCCGTCTAGTGTAATGGATGCTTCCTCTCCACCAACAGGGACCATCATACCAGCAGATGAACAGCAAGAGACATTTGAACCTTGCGTGGAGGATGCTGGAGCTATTATTCCTGGAGAGACGTCTGTCGATCCTCCATCAATCTTCACAGAAAAGGCCTTGATTCAATCAGAAAAAAAAGAACCTGTGTTTCAGTTTGACGCGAATGAATACAAAGTGAACATTGCTCCTCCAGCACCAAAAATAGTCCCTGTCCCTAAAACAGTGAGTGTGTCTGCTGCCGAATTAATCGTGAAAAAAGAACTACTTGCAGGCGAACTTAATCCAAATCCGTTACTTGTCTCTAATGTAACGGAAAAAGAAGTTGAAAAGTCAAAACCTATGAATATTAAACCAAAAAATGAAAAACCTGAAGAGAAAACAGATGAAATTGCTATAATATTTCAAAAATAGATAATGGAAAATAAATATTTTGAAAATTTCAGTCAAATTACTTTATTCGTGCAAAGTTATGAATGTCTGAAGTTTGGTCAGTGGTATGATTCAGTCAGTTAGCACTGATTTGTATAAACCTTTCTTGGAATCTCACTAAGCGTTGGCTCAGTGAGAAAGGAGCTAGCTCACTAACCAAGAGGTCCAGGGTTCGATCCCGGTGTTGGTCCAGCGTGGATTCTCCTTGTCAGTGGTGCAGGACAAATGGCCTAGCAAGGAACTGCATCTAGTCGTTAAGATGAGATAAAAACAAAAACACTTGTCCGTGCACGTAAATGAACCCTTGACAGTTGGAATTCAATTTCTGTCTCATAGCACCATACCATGCCTGTCTTCATTAGCCCGGTAGGTATAGAAAAGTAGGACGTAAAACCCCATTTCATTTGTTTATTGTTTATATTTTTTTACAGGAGGTTACAACAACATAGATTCTCAAGTAAATTATTTACAGGTAGGTTCAACTTACAGGTGTAAATATCTTGTACCTGTACACAGGTGTAAACTCCTTGTACCCATCACAGGTGTAAACTCCTTGTACCTATATACAGGTGTAAACTCCTCGTACCCCATACACAGGTGTAAACTGCTCGTTCCTATACACATTGAAAAGCACGTGCGAGTTAGTCTCTGTATTTTAAGTTGTTGAATGATATCCAGCTTAAGACATTGCGTAATATATTGAAACAACACTCGGGGTTGACGCCATGTTGCAGTATCGATATATTACTTAAAAATATAGTCTAGTCCACAACTCATCGTACGTACTGCGGGGGAAATCTTAGTAAACCCGTACGTGAGACTTAAGCATCACGTGCATGTGTTCGACAACGAAGAAGATCGCAGACTTGCTGTAGATACTTTTGGCCCTTCACAACGTGCAACTGATCTGCAAGCTACCAAACCCTACGACTCGTGGGGCCAAAACACGTACATGTATGACGGGTTGTGAACTAGGCTTTAGTGAATTATAGCCTTAGAGATAGATTAAAATCCTATGGTTGGAAAGTGGTCTAAAGGCTGACATTTCATAACACATACGTGACCTGTATGTGTTATGAAATGTTGTTATTAAATAACAGAGAAGTAGTTATATCCATATACACCTTGTGTTGTGTTTTGTTATGAATATTTAACCGTGCATCTAGATGTCATTTCAAGAATTGACACTCTACAGGTCACAATTTTTATCCGATTTTGACGAAACTTGAAATATAGGTTTATATCCCAAAGATCCCGGTTCCCTGTGATATTGGCATGTACTTAGTGGATTATGGCCCCTGATTGTACGACAAATCATGTTTTTATACGCCCACATTTTCATATGGACGTATATTGTCGTAGCCACCTGTCCGTCCGTGTGTCTGTTCACATTTTGTTTGTGGACACTCTACAGGTGACAATTTTCATCTGATTTTGATGGAACTTTTTCAAATTTTCAAATTTGATGTGAAACGTTGGTTTCCTGGGAGGACAAACCCAACTGATATTCGGCATTCCATAACCTTCTGTCCCAGAGTCACTCCCATTTGCCGAAAATTTTGTGTCAAGAATTAAGTTTACCAGAGGACAAGCCCTATCAATATTCAGCGTTCCTCAACCTTCTGTCCGTCCAAGAGTTACCCCCAATTGCCGAAAATCTTATGAATGTGATGGAGGCAATCGATACTCAGGGTTTCATGACCTTCCGTTCTTGAATTTTTTTCAAATTCGTTGTGAGTCATTTGGGCAAAGAGATATCTTATCCACTCATATCTTTGCAAAATGTAGATGTATTGTGCATGGCAATGGCTTGTTATGGGTAGTTTATCTCATAACTGCTCGGACAATTTAGCTTTTGGTGGGTTCATGTTGTCAGGCAAGATATGTTTTTATAGTAACCCCCAAATCTGTATTTGTAGTCCAGAGAAGTTCACAGACAACCTAAAAAAATGGCAGGTATACATCCCTTGAAGCCACCAAGTCTACCACAGCTCGATCAAGATGGTTCAAGAGAAAAATGGGAACTATTTGAGCAGGAGTTTGACCAGTACTTGGTGGATAGTGGGCTAGAGTCTATGGATGATGCTGTCAAGTGCCAATTGTTACGTCAATGTATTGGAAAAGAGAATATGCATATTTATGATTCGTTTTATACATTACATGAATTAAAAACGAAATTCAGTAACTATTGCAAACGTCCGATGGCGGCCGATAGTGTGCAGAAAGTTGTCGGAAATCCAAGTGTGCAGAAAGTTGACGGAAATCCAAGTGAAGATACCAGACAACAACGTAAGCTGAAATATTAGATATGTTACACTACAGCGCAGGTATCATGAAAGTAAACATTTGTAAACCCGACATTCATTATCTAATCTGAACATTTTAAGCTACGCAACAGTAGTTTTCTATGATTCTCAACGAAGTTTAATAATTTGTCAACCCTGGTTTGAAACTAAACATTAAATACAGAAACTCCTGCTTATATAGCACAACTACACTACATGATACCTGAGTTGTAGTGTTGTCAGACCAACACACTTTCCCTTGCTTGTGTGTTTTGTTGCCTACTAACCTACCTTTTCTCAAACTTACTGGGGTTACTGGGCTACACATTCGAATACACCATCGATTGTGCTATGAGGGAAAAAATTTGCCCAGACTGCAGAGTTTCAGACTACTCTTTATCGAATTCCAACTGCCAATGGTTCAATGGAATTACAAAAATTATTCATCCAAGAGATTTGTAATTAAGTGATTTAATAGGTTGATATGTGTACCAACAACAAAATTTCACTAGGGAATCTGGAACACTACTCTCCTTATGATGTGAAACAGGTCTCTATATATGTTGTACCACATTTCTATAGGGTAGATCTCTATACTTACAGTGGTACAGTTCTCTATATATGTTGTACCACATTTCTATAGAGTAGATCTCTATACTTACAGTGGTACAGGTCTCTATATATGTTGTACCACATTTCTATATAGTAGATCTCTATACTTACAGTGGTACAGTTCTCTATATATGTTGTACCGCATTTCTATAGAGTAGATCTCTATACTTACAGTGGTACAGTTCTCTATATATGTTGTACCACATTTCTATAGAGTAGATCTCTATACTTACAGTGGTACAGATCTCTATATATGTTGTACCACATTTCTGTAGAGTAGATCTCTATACTTACAGTGGTACAGTTCTCTATATATGTTGTACCACATTTCTATAGAGTAGATCTCTATACTTACAGTGGTACAGTTCTCTATATATGTTGTACCACATTTCTGTAGAGTAGATCTCTTTACTTGCTGTTGTACAGATCTCAATATACGCTGTAGTGTAGATCTCTATACTTGCTGTTGTACAGATCTCTTTATATGCTGAGGTACAGTTTTCAGTATATGCTGTATAGTAGATCTCAGTACTTGCTGTGGTATTTAAACTTTATGTTATGTTTTTCTTTTCACAGACCAGCAGAGTCCTTTGAAACAGGAGGGTATAATAACCTACGACAGAGATTTCTTGCTACATTTACAATTTAGTAAATACTCTGTCTCTAGACCACAAGCTTTACAAAATTTTCCTGCCATCGTTCTAGATAAGGTCAGTATTTCATTCTAGATAAGGTAAGTATTTCATGTTTCAAGTGTGAGTTTAATACATGGGTTAATCTTTTGATCCGCTATATGGGAGCTATGATGGTTGTTTTTGGAGTATTACCAAAATCCTTGGTATCCACATTGGGGTGTTCCGTTCTACACTACTAACGCCTGGGTACAATTACGGGGAAGACACATAGTCAAATTATCCGCCATTGATAAGTGCGCTATTTTTTTATAGACTAATCAAACAATTCTAAAAATAGGAAGTGCGTGGACAAAGGTATTTACTCACATTTTATTGCAACTAAAATGGCCGAATGGTGGTTACAAACTTTTTCAAAAGATAGTTTTGTGTGTATGTCACTTGACACTTCTTTAATATTAAATTCCTTGCAAACATTCTCATAATCGAACGTACAAACTGCTTTATTGTGGTGAACGTACACAATGAGGCTAAGACTGGTATATGAACTGGGTTTTTTTATTGGTTCAATCAAGGGGTTATGTAGTAGAACTGGGGATACTGAGGATGCATTACCAAGGTCCTGTATATGAATTGTTAGTACAAGTAAAATATCCCTCAGCAGTTGAATTTCCAAAAAGGATTGGCAGAAATAATGTTTTAGCAAAATTATCCTGTGATGAGGTCATGATAATGCATCAAAATCTATCGTTCATTACCATTTGGAAACTTCTAGAAACCATAAAAACTTCTGGAAACAGTGTTAGAAATAATTGAAAGGTTTTGAAGGGCTCTAGAAAAAGTTGGAAAGTTCTAGAATTTCCTAAAACTATATAAGCCGGACCAGACCTGTCCGAGGGCAGAGCTTTCTTAGCACTTCGTACAGAACTCAACATTTGTCGTAAATTTCTATTTAACCCACGTGGTCTGTGTTCACGATTTGCTATTTCGTGCTGCTGCCCTGATTGTGCTGTTTCGAGAGAAATCATCTCTCTGTTTTACATTGTGCTGTTTTGAGAGAAATTTTCTCTGTTATAATCCAAGTTTACGTTCATTGTTGTGGATTATTATCACGTCGGATCATCAAGATCCTGTGTAATTCTGCCTACTTTGGAAATACTATGCCAACGCATAGTGCATCTGTAAAGGACTGTCTACAAACTACTACTTCAAAGCAGTAGAAGCACCGAGAGCAAAGAAGACTTTAATCGAATACTGGTAAAATTGGACTGAATACTATGTGTAACCCTGTACATTGATTCTCACCAAGGCTCTTGTATTTATACTCATTTGTCCCAAAACCATTTTATGCCCACATGAAAATGTGGAAGTATATTGCCGTCGCCCCCCGTCCGTCCGCCATACATATTGAATTTCAGCAATTTCCGTTTATTACGTCTAGAGTTATGGCCCTTTGTTTCACTTTATTGAACCTTGTGAACGCTCTAACACCAAAATTTATCATCCGATCTTTGTGAATTTTAAATGTATTATTTAAATTAGTGAAACGAAGAAGCCTGTTGAAATTTCAGCAATTTCCGTTCATTACTTCTAGAGTAATGGCCCTTGTTTCATTTTGTTGCACCTTGTGAATGCTCTAACATCAAAAGTTATCTGCCGATCTGTATGAAATTGATATGTGTCATTTAAATTAGTATATGCTTATACCATACAAATTATATTTTTAGCCCGGCTCCAGTGGAAAGACTGAAAAGAGGAACAGACAACAAGATCCCAAGGAAATTATTAATGCCGTGTCTATATCACAAGATATTAAACTACATAAAGCTGAAAGTGAGGAGCTTGATGAAACTGAAGCCAGAACACAGGTAAACTATTTATATTTTAATTATATTCCTCCCAGTCTGTTTGGGAATTTAGAAGACTTGTCATATAGAAGGATCAATTTTAACGCTCGTTTTTTTAGTCTCACCTCGAATAAAATTTGAGAGAATATTTTAAAAGTCCATATAACAATTTGATCAAACCTTGTAGATCATGTAGAGGCCAATGTTATCATACCTTGTAGATCCTGTAGAGGCTAATGTTATCATACCTTGTAGATCCTGTAGAGGCTAAAGTTATCATCCGATTGACTTGGAATTTATACACAGAGTTTTATGTTCATACAACGATTTCTGATAGGCACAGGCACCTGAAGGGATTAAAATAAAATTTCTTACTACTGCTTGACTATATACGACAATAACAACAAAGTGTATCACCCGCCGTATTGTTTTCATTTGTTAAAGGTATTTCGTCTGCTATCATCTCACAATACTCACTAGTTCTAACATTTCCTGTCGTTTTTATTGCCAACGAGACTTTATTTGATCATTATACACCTTCCAATGTAATTAAATTGGTCATTTTACAGCGTTATTAATTACAAATCAAACCTGAAGCACTATCACTTGGCGATTTTCAACTTCGTCGGACCGGAAGTAATAAGAAATAGGATCAAAGGAATTCCGTTTTGTTTTTGTTAGTAACAGTCTGCATCACCCAGTCCCTCCATTAACCTATCTGTTATGAAAAATTTGCCTAGGGACTGGGTCATCCAGACAGCACCAACCGCACGTGTTTGTCGGGTGAAAATGAAAAAAGTCCCTAGCATTAGCTTAAGAACAAAGTCAAGCTTTTGAAGTTATAAAAACGGGCCACAATGAGACTGACCGCGCTGTGTCTGTCTGACAGTTCCTGTCGGGCCTTATATAGCTGTGTTCTCAGAGGCTGTTTTAGAACCCTAACCTTCTATTTTTCACCGTGATTCTTTATTTTCCGCCGAAAGAAATCATTTGTCACTATATTTGACACAAATTTTTAATAATTCAACACCATTTTCTAGTAGAATTTAGCGATGAAATAAACATGCGGCTTGCGAATGTCCCGGTCTCGTAATGGCTGATCAGTTCAATATGTTTTTAATCGCAGAATTCTACTTGAGAATATTGTTGAATTATTATAAATGTGTGTCAGTTGTGGCAAGAAATGATTCATTTAGCGAACAAAGTAGAATCAAAGTGAAAAAGGTAAGGATTCCGTAGTTCCGCTGTCCGGGCAAAATTTCCCTCATAGCACACTGTAAGGCAAGAAATGATTCATTTAGCGAACAAAGTAGAATCAAAGTGAAAAAGGTAAGGATTCCGTAGTTCCGCTGTCCGGGCAAAATTTCCCTCATAGCACACTGTATGGCGTATGCCCGTCTTCATTAGCCCAGGTTAGGAGCAGAACAGTAGGACGTTAAACTCCATTTCATTTCATTTCATTTTCATTTATTTCAGGCACTTCATTTTGTCGACTAAAAGGCAAAATATATTTTCCCAAAAAATATTATATTAATTTACCTGTCAGCCTGAGAGCATTCAGCTGTCATTCTGAGATTCTTAATTCGCGGTCAGCTATGAAAGTCAATTTGAAAATAATCGCTTCCCTAACGCAATGTCACTGACCTCATTTCGTGTTACTTCCGGTCCGACGAAGTTGATAATCGCCAAGTGATAGTGCTTCAGGTTTGATTTGTAATTAATAACGCTGTAAAATGACCAATTTACTTACATTGGAAGATGTATAATGATCAAATAAAGTCTCTTTGGCAATAAAAACGACAAGAAGTGTTAGAACTAGTGAGTATTGTGAGATGATACTGATAGCAGACGAAATGTCTTCAACGAGGCAAATCAATATGGCGGGTGATACACTGTGTTGTTATTGTAGTATGCAGTATCAAGAATTTTTTTTAATTTTAATTCCGTCAAGTGACCGTGCAAGAAAGTGCTAGAACTCAATAAATCAATTATTTATATTAATCACAGAATACATTTATCACCGGATCGTTTTGAAATTTATACAGTTGTTTAAAGATATATTATAGGAGATAAGATAACGAGTTGGCAGTTCTCACTATAATATTTAAAAACTAGATAGTGTAAAGGTAATTTGCTGAAAATTTCAGTCAAATTGATCCACTATGAGCCCAAAACGAAGCAGGTGAAATTTTCGCATAGTCTCGGTCATCATTACTAAAATCATTAATATAAACAGCATAGTCTCGATTATCCACTGTTTTGATTTAATTATCAATGGCCGTTAAGCGGCATATAGGAATCTAATCCAGCCAACATCGAAGGCTAGCCTTGACATCGAGAGTTTATTATGGTCTGGATAAGTTAATTAATATCTTAATTGATAATTTAGATAACATTTCAGGCCTAAAGAAAGACTTGTAATAAGCAGATTTTGCTCTTGCATATTGCATGTTTAAGTAGAAATGAAGAATCCTATTTAATTTCAACCATTTCTGTTAATTAGTTCTAGACTTATGGTCCTTGTTTCACATCGTTGAACCTTGTGAACGCTCTTACGACGACAAAGTTAGTTCGATCTCTATTGAATTTATATGCATTATTTAGATTAGTGAAACCACAAAAGCCTATCAAATATTCTAGAGTTGTGGCCCTTGTTTCACATTGTACCCCTTGTGACCTCCCAAATATATTGTCCAATATGTATTAAATTGATATGGGTGTATTGTAATTGCTCCCATTACCTACAAAAGAAAAGATATGTGACACCCCTTGGCGACTGCTCAACGATTTAGCTGCAGTGGGTGTGTTTTAATTTCGTTTTATTTATTGGGACATTTCGGCCAGGCTCCCATAGATAAACAATCTTGCCATAATATAAAGTTTGTCTAATTTTGCATTTTGTTTCTTACTTCAGGAAATCTACAAATGTATGCAAAGTATTTTGAAATTCAAAACTTTATCAAAACAAGTTCAGGAATTAAATATCGACACAGAAACAAGATTAAAAGGTGTCACAGGTTTAATATATGAAAAGGTGAGAATTTTACTAGAAATTCATATTCAGTGGGAGACAAGTTTGCATTGCCACAAAAGTAGTCAAGGGCAGGGCAGAGGACCTGTCAATAGAATTTCCAGCCATGGCCAAAAAGCTTGGTTACTACGGATTTTCAATCTCCATTAAGTTTGATACTAGGACAGAAACTCTGTCTCCATCTTATTTTCGTTATCCAATGAGCTGGCGTGTAACATCCCTGTCTGTAAACTATATTAGGATAGATGACTATACATTTTATTCTGCACATGGAAAACTATTAGAAATGGTTCCATAGCTGATGTCCTCCGTCTTGCTCCAGCCACAGCAGTGGATTGTTCTAAGGCATTCCCTTGGACAGGTTTTGTCATGATTTGATGACAAAAAAGTTACTGGCGTATAACTCACTTAATTTCCAATTAAACCAAGCCCAAACTGTACTGTACGTAGCTTAACATATAACCCAAATACCAATTCCTATATTTTATAGGCTGTGAGTGAACCAGCGTTTAGTGCAGCCTGTGCTAGAATGTGTAGATCTTTTATGCAGGTACGTACATCAAAACAAACTTTCTCCTCTAATAAACATCTCGTCCTCATCTTGCGTCTATGGATAAAAAACTTAAAACTAAAAATATTTAATACTTAATATCTATTATGAATAAGAGGCCCATGAAGGGGACGATAACGCGCGTCTGCGTGTGGGTTTGTAGGCCTATTCATATTATTTTCTCTTATTATCTTCAAGGAATTTTGGGTAATCAACATTTACATACACCAAATGCCAAAGGGTTAAGGAATAAAAATAGATTAATCTAATTAAAATGATGTATTTACAGGTAAAGGTTCCGTCTGATAGCGAACCAGGTGAGAAAATAAATTGCCGGATTATTTTATTAACTAAATGTCAGAGAGAGTTTGAGAAACATGAAGATGTGGAAATAGATTTAGAAGCTCGACAGAAGAAAATTAATGAAGCAGAGTCGGTGAGTAAAATCGTTCACTTTTGAAATTCAATGTATATGACAATGTGCTATTAGAGAAATTTTTCGCCTACTCTTGATAGAATACCAGCTACCAATTTTTTTTTAACCCAGGCTTTTTTGTCCCATCCAACTGATTAGATGCTGTTCATTCCAGGCCCCTTGTCCGGCATCACTGCATCCTTAGAACTTTTTAAGCAAACACCAGGCTGAAACTTGGAGCTTCACGGTTAGTGTACCAGCGCCTTAGTTGTCGAGGTTCCCCTTCATGTGGCAAACCAGGACATAACTTGAGGGAAGGCATCCTAGATTTCTCATGAAGCTCCTAAGTTAGATTCTTCGACTGTTTCCTTTATATAGTCGTTCAGGACCTGATTCCTGTGAATTTACCATAGTTTATTTCTGATTTCCAGGAAGATGTGAAGAAACAATTACAAGAAGAAATGGAGATTGCTGCAACGACAGCCAGGAGAAGATCTATAGGAAACATCAGGTAAATGATGTCACAATATAGCCCGCTTGGTGCTGACTTGATATTAATCACTAGTTCATTTCATTTGTTGTAAGGTCCAGAAATATATCATTATCAATCAGTACAATTTATAATTCTAAACGGAATGAAAAGATGTCACTTTTTGAAATAGAATAATAATTGTTTCATGGAATTCAGGCAAATGATGACTGAAGTTATCCCTGTCTTATATTTAATGATGACAGACGATTTCCTTGTTACTGATATTCCCAGATTGATTCCATCAGTCGGTTATTGTCTGATTGTCTATTTACAGATTTTTAGGAGAGTTATTTCAATTGAAATTGTACACAAAGCAAGTTATGTATGATTGTGTATCTAAATTATTACAGTCGAAAGATGAGATAAATTTAGAATGTTTAAGTATATTATTAACCACAATAGGAAAAAAAATGGACAAAGGAAAGGCCAAGGTAAGACACAATACACTTGATGTTGTCGTGTAATAAAAGTTGAGACAAAATTAATCCTAACTATATTTGAATTTCATGCTGGAAGAGAAGATTATTAATTTCGGCCATCATGCCGACAGAAGATTTAGCCTAGAAAGAAGGGGTTACTATTCTGGGATCCACCTTGGTTTTGGCTTAAAATAAGTCTGATATCGACTGAGGGCGACATTTTGTTCGTTTTTTATCTTCACCAAATTCTTCAACTTTCAGTCTGAAATAGATCAGTACTTCCAAGAAATACAGAAAATCGTTGGAGAGAAGAAAACATCGTCAAGAGTACGATTTATGTTACAGGATGTTATAGATTTACGATTGGTGAGTTTTTCGTTGTTCAGCTATTTCTGATCAGTGATTCGTTGTTTTATTGTTCCCTATATCTGGATATAACTTGCTTGAACACAATGTTTATATACTGAATTATTTGATGTTCATTGATGAATAATATATTTATATTGTAGTGTAACTGGGTGCCAAAAAGAGAAGATAATAATCCTAAAACTATCGATCAGATCCATAAAGAAGCTGCCAAAGAAAATGCACAGAGAACTGACCTTCTATCCCAGAATCTACCTCAAAGTTCAAACAAACAGAGCCGTGATGGTGGACAACGTAAGTTAATGTATTTTACTACATGGCTGGTCTATATAGAATACTGACCACGGCTTATGTTCCGAAATCCGTGTCCAAAAGGGTCAAATTTTCCAAAATCCATAATGGCTGCCGGTTTGGGCATGCAAATTCCAATTTTCACCCAAAATGATCATAATTTGATCGAGTTTGGTATGAAAAGATACGTTTTCGTGTAAATGAAGCCATTTCCATACACATTTTGGTGATAAGTGACACTGTCGAGTCAATATTGGGGGGTCATTCAAGATGACCGTCAGTTTTGGCGGAAAAGGTTTGGTGTCAAAACATATGTTTACAAGGTAGCTGACTCCATTTTTGTACATATTTTAGTGATTAAGTGATTCCCCTGTGTCAATATAAGAGGCACTGCAGGGATGTAGATTTCCGACTAGGGATCTCCCGGGTCTGACGCGACGTAGGGGTATATCAACTGGCAAAGGCGTAGGAGGGCTGCAGTCCCCTCGTATTCAGTCAACCTTCCATTTTTGGGCAATGTTTTTCCGTTTTTCGGGCACAAACATCAGAGAATGAGACCATGTATCATAGAAATATAATTGTAAAATGAAACCTCTCGCGGTTGAATACTATAATACTTAAAACATTGTGCAATAACATTTGTGGAGAACTCGTTTTAGTTAATGATTGATTCATTCTGAAAGATAAAAAAAAAGTTCAGGCAGATGTCTTCAGCCTTGCACATCTAACATATTGATAATGCATCTAACAATGAAATTGTCCATCACTCTATGGCCCAAGCAAAAATACTCATCGTCGAAATTAGTCATGACTATATACCAAGTTATATTCTGTTCTAAATTCATTCTCTGCCATTGAAATTGTTATCTCAGCGTATTATTGAACTTTAGCCAGGGATCTTAATCGGCTTATTATTGTTGGCCTCCAAGACTCGTTATCATTCAAATGACGGTGGGCAGTTCATTGGCAAATGGTTCACTGCATATCGGGATCCATCTGTGTCTCATCTGTGATCAAAATCGGACACGCCCACAACGCTGCATCCACAGTGATTTATCTCCAGGCTTTTAAAATACATTGTGTAAGAACTAGATACAGGCGACCCTACTCCTTGTCACGTACAACCGGGGAATCGAAACCACGCCAGTTGACTCAATGACAGACCGTATGATACATTCGACCCCCCCCCCCCCCCCAGCGCAGTTATAAGTGTTTGAACTCTTAGCAAGATGTAGCATTGAATGATTCTTTTAGTTAAATTTTGTAATCTCGTGGGTATCCTAATCCATTCAAATCCGATGATCTACAGAGTTAGTTACCCCGGTACAGGCTAATGTGAATAATTTTTTTTTTTTTTGCAGCGCCAAATAGTGGAGGGCCACAACAGAATAATCAACATAATGATGATGGCTGCAACACTGTCGCTTCTAAACCTCTCCGTAACATAGATCTGTCAAACAAGAAAATTACCAAGGTAATAATATGATGTTGATTTGATGTCTGTTGATATTTATAAAACTGTTGATATACACAGTATTTTGTTTTGTGTGTGTGTGTGTGGGGGGGGGGGGGGGGTGGGAGGGGCTGTATGTCAAATGAAAGAGAAAAGCAACAATATAAAAAAACTATGGTTCGAAAACAGGGTCATTTCTCTATTGCTTAATAAAGGCAAAATGATGACTAAAGTTATCCCTGTCTTATATTTAATGATGACAGATGAATTCCTCGTTACTGATATTGCCATAATGATTTAGTTTTATTTATTGGGTCATATCGACACGGCTCCCATAGAATCCACCATCTATTCATGTAATATAAAGTTTGTCTTATCTTGCATTTTGTTTTTTTTTTATTTCAGGAAATCTACGAACATGTGAAAGGTATTTTGAATAAATTAACTCCAGAGAATTTCCAAGCTTCTTCAAAAGAAATTCCGAAAAAAAATATCGACACAGAAACAAGATTAAAAGGTGTCACAGATTTAATATTTGAAAAGGTGGGAATTTTACTAGAAATTTGTATTCATTGAGTTTGCATTCCATGGGCCAAAAAGAACCGTTACAAGCTTGGTTGCTACGGATTTTCAATCTCCATCAAGTTCGATACTACGACAGAAACTCTGTCTCCATCTTATTTTCGTTATCCAATGAGCTAGCATGTAACAACCCTGTCTGTAAACTATATTAGGATAGATGACTATACATTTTATTCTGCACATGGAAAACTATTAGAAATGGTTCCATTGTTGATATCTTCCGTCTTGCTCCAGCCACAGCAGTGTATCGTTGTAAGGCCTTCCTTTGGGCACGTTTTGTCATGATTTGATGGGTCCGGGGTCAGGCTTCCCCTGAGAAATGTTTGAATTTAGAGTCCCTGAAATTTTACAGAATTCTGATCTTCAGAAAACGCTTATAACATGAGTAAAATTGAGTACTACGCATGGGAATTCAAGTTATTTATTAAAAATTCTGCAAGAACGTACAATTTACTATGAATCTGTGATAACTTCTGAAAGTGATAATAATTAGATCATTTACATGGACCTATATCTTCGATATATTATTGTGGTGAATAAACATAAATTAGCAAAGATATGACTATGTCCTCATTTTGTCATTAAGGGTCAAGTTTGACTACCGATCGACGATTTTGTCAAGATCGATCGTATCCGTCAGGTCATGCTCACACGCAAGAGCCAACAGTTCATTGAGAAGTTCCTGTTTTATTACTAAACGCATGATATCACCTTTTACTAATTTGAGCTTTGAAAAACTGGCGTATATTGTGATATCCAATCATTCTTATATTTGGTTTTTTTCCCTTCTATTTTGGCATTGTTTATTTACCTCATTAATTCATTTAGTCGTCGATGCATTATTCTGAGACCGACTGCACTTATTTTGAGACACTGACTATTTATATTCCTGGGTGTCCAGTTTGACAAATTGGTGATGACGAGGAAAGTCTTTATGTAAAAATGATTTATAAGTCAAATGGACTAAAGTTACCCCTGTGTTATATTGAATAATGACAGTTGAATTCCTTGTTATCGTACTAATATTGCCAGCTTGATTCCATTCAGCTTTTAAGATCTGAGTCAGCGTATATTTATCTTATGCTAACAGTTGTTTTATCTATATTTTATAGGCTGTGAGTGAACCAGCGTTTAGTGTGGTCTGTGCTAGCATGTGTAGAGATCTTATGAAGGTACGTATATCAAAACAAACTGTCTCCTCTAAAAAACATCTCATCCTCATCTTGCTTCTATGGAAGAAAAAGTTAAAACTATAAATATTTAATACTTGATCTGTTATGAATAAGGGGCCCATGAAGGGGGCGATAACGCGTGCGCGCGAGGGCGAGCGTGTGTGTGTGTGTGTGGGATGGGGGGGGGGGGGGGGCAGGGATTCTAATCTAATCTAAACCCGGCAAAATATTAGATCGATTTGCACCAGACTAATTTATGTCTGGCTATAAATTCGTATTCGAAATGGCCTAATATAGGAAAACGTCTGCCGATCGAGGGAGATGTGATTAAGTGGAGTTCTTCTAGGCAGTGTGAGGTTGAATCGTTTTTCGCTATTCGTTATTCGTTATTCACCAATAACGAATAACGAGGTGACTTGCCTCGTTATTGGCGAATAACGAGGTACAAGCTACCTCGTTATTCGTTATTCAACTTTATATTCGGGATTCCAATATGCAGCTAGCCATGACTAGAATGATGGATGTCAAGTATCCCCCAGTAGTATAAAACACAGCAAAACGACCTCTATACGAAAAACAGTCCACACTGTTATTCAAGAAGCGAATAACGAGCTGTCTGTTATTTGTTTTTCACCTCGTTATTCACATATAAGGTGTACATGTATCTTTAATGAAGATATTTCAGGATTTAATCCCAAACGATCATTAGACGACAACAATAGAATAATGGATTACAAAGTATCCCCTAGCAGTAGAAAACATATTAAATGACATACATGTATAGTCGGTAAATAAACCAGATTGTTATTCAAACGGTGAATAACGAATAACGAAAAATAATACATTAATCTAATTAAAAGATTTATTTACAGGTAAAGGTTCCGTCAGATAGGGAACCAGGTGAGAAAATAGATTGCCGGGTTATTTTATTAACTAAATGTCAGAGAGAATTTGAGAAAGATAAAGATTTAGATTTAGAAGCTGGACAGAAGAAAATAGATGAAGGCGACTCAGTGAGTAAAATCCTTCACTCGTGAAATTCAATATACATGTATATATGACAAACAGTGTGCTATGAGAAAAGTTTTTGTCCTACTCTTGATAGAATTCCAGCTACCAATTGTTCCTTTTTAACCAAGGTTATTTTTCGTCCCATACAAATCACTGCATCCTTAGAACTTTCTAAGCCAACGCCAGGATGAAATGTGGGACTTCACGATTAATGTGCCAGCGCCTTAGACATCGAGGTGCCCCGTAGACATTCCTCGACTGTTTCCCTTATATAGTCATTCAAGACCTGATTCCTGTGAATTTTAGATGGTTTATTTTTTATTCTTTATTTCTGATTTCTGTAAATTTACCATGGTTTACTTGTTATTACTAGGTGGATGATAAAAAACAAGAAGAAATGGAGATTGCTGCAAAAACAGCCAGGAGAAGATCTATAGGAAACATCAGGTAAATAGTCCGCTTGATGCTGACTCGCCATTAATCACTAGTTCATTTCATTTGTTGTAAGGTCCAGAACGATATCATTATCAATCAGTACAATTTATAATTCTAAACGTAATGAAAAGATATCGCTTTTTGAAATAGAATAATAATTGTTTCATGGAATTCAGGCAAATGATGACTGAAGTTATCCCTGTCTTATATTTAATGATGACAGATGAATTCCTTGTTACTGATATTCCCAGATTGATTCCATCAGTCGGTTATTGTCTGATTGTCTATTTACAGATTTCTCGGAGAGTTATTTCAATTAAAAATGTACACAAAGCAAGTTATGCATGATTGTGTATCTAAATTATTACAGTCGAAAGACGAAGTCGATTTAGAATGTTTAAGCATATTATTAACCACAATAGGAAAAGAATTGGACACAGAAAAGGCTAAGGTAAGACATAATACACTTGATGTTGTCAAGTAATAAAAGTTGTGACAAAATTAATCCAAACTATATTTGAATTTCATGCTGGAAGGGGAGATTATTAATTTCGACCATCATGCAAACAGAAGGGAAAGCCTAGAAAGAAGGGGTTACTATTTTAGTGTTGGCTTAAAATAAGTCGCATATCGACTGTGGGCGACATTTTGTTCGTTTTGTATCTTCACCAAATTCATTATCTTTCAGTGTGAAATAGATCAGTACTTCCAAGAAATACAGGAAATCGTTAGAGAAAAGAAAACATCGTCAACAGTAAGAGTTATGTTACAAGATGTTATAGATTTACGATTGGTGAGTATTTTGTCATTTAACTATTTCTTATCTGTAATTCATATTTCGGTTATAACTTGCTTGAACACAATGTTATAGATTTACGATTGGTGAGTTTTTTGTTGGTTAGAACTTGCTTGAACACAATGTTATAGATTTACGATTGGTGAGTTTTTTGTTGGTTAGAACTTGCTTGAACACAATGTTTATATATTATTTATTTCCTGTTCATTGATGAATAATATATTTATATTGTAGTGTAACTGGATGCCAAGAAGAGAAGATAATAATCCTAACACTATCGATCAGATTCATAAAGAAGCTGCTAAAGAAAATGAACAGACAAATGTCCTTTTATCCCAGAATCTACCTCAATGTTCCAATAAACAGCCGTGTAGATGAATTGTGCAAAATGTAGATAAAGAGCTAACATTTCTCGCCATAATAGTTCAAAAATAGACAAAGATTTAGATAAAGACCTGACCGCTCTCACACTCTCGCTCTAGTTCAAATATAAATAATGAAGCATGAATATATTGACAATTATTTTATTCTCAGTGTTTGATAAGATACTGTGTAAATAGTCTCAATTGTCAAGTACTAATGCTACGATAATAAGAAAAGTTTTGATTATCATTATCCGTTTTAAAGATGACTTTTGGCGCTAGTGTTTTAACCCATTCCATTTCTCGGCCATGCGATGACACAGCGAGTTGATTATGGTCTTGATAAGTTAATTAATGTCTAATTAATAATTTATATAACATTTGAAGCCACAATAAAGACCTGCAATAGGCAGATTTAATTCTTACATAACGCATCTTTAAACTATCATCTGATTACTGGTCATATTTTGTTTATGGTATGTCTCTAGTTCATTCCTGGTGCTGGCTGAGAAATTTCCTCTGGGTTTTAACATGGAATATGGTACCTTTAACCTAAGTATGTGAGTATAGTATTATCTAGTGATTGTACCTTTAACCTAAGTATGTGAGTATAGTATTATCTAGTGATTGTACCTTTAACCTAAGTATGTGAATATAGTATTATCTAGTGATTGTACCTTTAACCTAAGTATGTGAATATAGTATTATCTATTGATTGTACCTTTAACCTAAGTATGTGAATATAGTATTATCTATTGATTGTACCTTTAACCTAAGTATGTGAGTATAGTATTATCTAGTGATTGTACCTTTAACCTAAGTATGTGAGTATAGTATTATCTAGTGATTGTACCTTTAACCTAAGTATGTGAGTATAGTATTATCTAGTGATTGTACCTTTAACCTAAGTATGTGAATATAGTATTATCTATTGATTGTACCTTTAACCTAAGTATGTGAATATAGTATTATCTATTGATTGTACCTTTAACCTAAGTATGTGAGTATAGTATTATCTAGTGATTGTACCTTTAACCTAAGTATGTGAGTATAGTATTATCTAGTGATTGTACCTTTAACCTAAGTATCTGTATACCTATAGTTGTGACTTGTATATACAGGTATGTATAGTATAGAAGGCTAGCCAACATTCAGTTTTCATCATGATGTAAATTTTGTATAGTAGGCTAGCCACCATTTAGCCTTGACCATGATGTAAATTTGGTATAATAGGCTAGCCACCATTTAGCCTTGACCATGATGTAAATTTGGTATAGTAGGCTAACCAAAATTTAGCTTTCATCATGATGTAAATTTGGATAAGTGTAAATGTACATACATGTATATAAATATTTGGATAAGTGTAAATGTAGATACATGCATATAAATATTTATAAATAAATAATTTATGTAGTTTAATCAAGGTATATAGATTGCTGCTATATAGATTGTTGCTAAGTTGCTATACCGTTTGTTGCTATATGAATTGTTGCTAAGTTGCTATATCGATTGTTGCTATATTAATTGTTGCTATATCGGCTGTTGCTATATGAATTGTTGCTAAGTTGCTATACCTTTTGTTGCTATATGAATTGTTGCTAAGTTGCTATACCGTTTGTTGCTATATTGATTGTTGCTATATGAATTGTTGCTAAGTTGTTATATTGATTGTTGCTATATCGGCTGTTGCTATATCGGTTGTTGCTATGACGATTGTTGTTATATAGATTGTTTCTATATCAATTGTTGCTCTATCGGTTTTGTCATATAGATTGTTGCTATATCGATCTTTTGCTTTATCAAATATACTGATTGTGGCTATATCCATAACTATCTCGATTGTTGCTATGACGATAGATTGCTATATTCATTGTTGATATATTGAGTGTTGTTAAATTGATTGTTGCTATGACGATAGATTGCTATATTGATTGTTGCTATGAAAAGTGTTGTTATATTAATTGTTGCTATATTGATTGTTGTTATATTGACTGTTGCCATGACGATAGGTTACTATGTAGCTCCTGTATAAAGGGCCCAAGGTCACTACACCTGTTACTTGTTTTAATACTTTTTGTCCATGGCTAGACGTGTTTTTGTTAGAGGTCTACTAAAGTAAAGATATATATAGTGTTTTCAAATATATCATCTGAAACAATGTATAGAGTTTTACATATGAACTAAAATGTGATAAATATCAAAACGAATCTGGCGTCCTGTGAAGGATCGATAGAGGATAATTGAAGTTTGTGTTGCTTACAATAACCGAGAGCTGAAGAGCCAATATGGCGGCCAAGAAGAACAATAGTGATAACTTGGTCGTGACTCTTCTCTAAACTGTACTATAGTGTATATTTGCGTCGTATATAAAAGTGAAATAAAAAAAAAAAAAAAAAAAAAAAAAAAAATTATAAACAAAACTATATAAACAAAAGCCATGCAAAATATAAGGGCTACAAAAACAACTGTGGGACCTGAAGGTGTTAGTGTGACAAATGAACTCAATAGAGAGAATACAATACTTATATCTCCAGTATATGGTGAGACAAAATTGTCATCAGTTGAACTTTTAACATTTATCCTAGCCCATGATAATTTTGATATAAAATATATTAAATGTCTTCAGAATATAGGAAATGGGAATTTCTATCTGACAGTTGACTCTCAACAATCTAAAGATATCTTTGTTGGACTCTTTGAATCATTTACCATCAATGATCTGGAATATGAGTCGAAAGGCACCATCAAAGCTATCTGAGAATACCCAGTAGACTCTATCCCAATAGTTATCTATAATCTATTCTATGAAATAGATAATAAGGACATTGCACGAAAAATATCAAACTATGCCGATGTCATCAGATGTGAGAGGCCATGCTACAAAAATTTTCCAACAATAGAAAGTGGGGTGAGAATCATTCATGTCAAACGCGTGTTCAAGCCTATCCCATCCCATATTTTCATAAAAGGCCTACGAGTAGGCGTTAAATACGAAGGGCAGATCAGATATAATAAGACTTGTTTCAACTGCGGAGAACAGGGCCACCTAGGAAGGGATTGTCCCTTGCCTGACAAACGTACAAATAAATCTAACTTCTCACCCATCCCAGAGGATTTTCCACCCCTGCAATCCTCTCCATCTACAGAGCTACCTATAACTCCTGATCCATACAGAAATATAGATGAGCTACCTATAACTCCCAAAATGGATCTAAATCTGGAATACTCTCCTCAGGAGAATTCTACAACAGAAAATGATGAAACAGAGTTGAAACAAACCCACTCTGACACATTTGATCCAAATAATGATGTGAATAAAGACGACCATAAAATTATTGATACATTAATGGATTTTAATATAAACAAAAATGATGTTGCAGTCAAAGAAGCACAGGAAACTGAGTGTACCAGTGCAGACTATGTTAAAATCCAAGATAGCAAAAATACAAAGAAAAGGAATATCAGCAATAATGAAGATGTAACAGATAAAAAACTAAGAATGAAAAGTCCAATAGTTGAGGTCTTTAATAGACTGACTAGAAAAAACTGATATAATAACTAAAAAGTGAATTGGACTCAATTGTGAAATCATATTAACTGAATAAGTTTATATATAACAATACAATTATTATTCTACAATGTCTATAGTGAAAATCTTGATTATCTCACTAATTATGCATATTATATCCTCTAATATTCAAAGAGGCTTTGATGAAAAAATAAACATCTTAACAGATAAATTCAGCTACCCAGAGATACTCTGTTTACAAGAAACAGTGTCAAATACTAAAATTATAAATGAATCCAAGATATATCAAGATGGTAACTATAAAATTATATCAAATACTATTGATAATAACTATCTGGGAACAAGCATGCTTATCCGAAATGACATTGAATTTAAAGAACATACATATCCAAACTTACTACAAGGAAGGTACCAACATATATCATTATACATTAACGATAAAACAACCAATGTAATGAATATATATGGCCCTCCTGGTTCAACTAAAGAAAAACAAAATTTCTTTCAAAGTTTACACAATCATATAATAAATATCTATAATGAGAAAGAATACTACATTTTAATTGGTGATTTCAATGTAACAGAAAATAAGATTGATTCTAAAAATGATACCTACTACTCCCAGATAGTTATTGACTTACTTATCAATATCACAAAAATAATAGAAATATCAGATGTTTTCAGGAATAAATTTCCAGACAAGATATTATATACATGGTCCAATACAAGAGGTAGTGCTAGTCGAATTGACAGAGCATACATATCTAATAACCTACTAACTAGTGTTACACATTTAAATCACCATCCAAATACAAAATCAGATCACAAAATTTTATCTTTGAAAATCAATCTAGACAGCTATAGATGGGGAAGAGGATTTTGGAAATTTAACAATTCAGTACTCACAAACAACAATTATAAATCAGCCATAACAAAATTTTGGGAATTCTGGCAAAAGGAGAAAACGAATTTCAGACACAGTAATGAATGGTGGGACAAAGGGAAACAAGAAATTCAATCAATCACAAAAACCTTCTGTATAGCCATATCAAAAATCAAACAATCAAAATTAAAACTTCTCTACAGCTGTCTAGAAGATGAAGAACAAACCCAGAAGCCAGATCAAAATAAAATTAACAAAATTAAAAATGACATCACCCACATTGAAGACTATAAAAATGAAGGATATATTATTCGGTCAAAATTAGATATAAATATCACTGACAACTCAAATATTGATATTTTCAAAATAGCCGAAGAAAAGAATGCATGTAATAAAAAGATAACACAACTCCAAAATAATCATGGGGAGATACATACAACTAAACAAGATATACTAAAAACCATACATGAATATTATACAAATCTATATACATCTCAAAACATAAATCCCTATACAATAGATACATATTTAAACAAAAATAACCTATCAAAAATTACACTTGAAGATAGAGAACAAATATCACATTTGATAACAAATGAAGAAGCGCTAAGTGCCCTAAAACAATTTAAAAATAACAAGTCTCCAGGCATAGATGGCCTATCAAAATCCTTTTATCTAACTTTCTGGAACATAATAGGTGATGACTTTGTAGAGGTGTTGAACAACATTTATCTGAAGGGTGAACTCACACCTACAATGAAAGAGGCAATAATTAATATCAGTTATAAAGGAAAAGGCAACTCAAACTATTTGAAAAACTACAGACCTATAAGTCTATTATGTCAGGACTACAAAATATTAACAAAAATTTTGGCCAATAGATTAACACCAATGTTAAATAGCATAATATCTCCACTGCAAACGGGGGCTGGGGAAGGAAAATCTATACTAAATAACCTAATGTCAATTCACAGTATTATTACATACATGGAAGAAAAAAATATACCAGGATTACTACTGAGCTTTGATCAAATGAAAGCCTTTGACATGATAGAACATAACTACATTATAAAGCTATTACAAAAATACAACTTCCCAGAGTTCATTGTAAGATGGATTACAATAATCTATACAAACATTGTCAGTAGGGTGCAGGTAAATGGCTCATTTACAAGGGAGATTAATGTAACAAGAGGAATAAGGCAGGGGTGTTGTCTATCAATGTTAATATACTGTCTTGCCATAAATCCTGTTGCGGTACAAATAAATCAGAACAATTGCATAAAAGGAATCCATATCCCAAACACTTCTGAAGAAATAAAACTATTTCAACATGCAGATGATCTATCATCAATTATAACAAACAGTACATCATATACCTACCTTATAGAAGACATAGAATCTTTTGGCTCTGCCTCTGGATCAGAACTAAATCCATCAAAAACTGAAATAATAAAAATAAATAATATTACTATACATAGAAACGATATTCCACAAATAAATATAAAAACACAAATAAAACTCCTAGGAATATGGTTTGGTCACAACAATGTTGAAAAAAACTGGCTACCCATACTGGCAAAACTAAGCAAATTAATAGATAAATGGATAAAATACAAACTAAAAATAAAAGATAGACTTTTAGTATTAAATACTTACATACTCAGTAAACTCTGGTACACATGCCGAATTATCACGCCACCAAAACACATTATAAAATCTATAAATAAGGAAATATTTAGATTTATCTACCAAGACACACCAGAAACTATCAAAAGAATGTCACTACACCAACCATTCAAAAAGGGTGGTCTAAATGTGCCTAACATAGAAAATAAAATAAGGGCAATGGCACTCCAACGAATTATAATCATGAAAAATAACATAAACCCATGGATTAATCTGTTTGCGTATTGGTTTGGGTATACACATAAAGGAATATTGCCATGGTTAGCATCCAACAAACTATCACATACAGTAAATACACCACAAATTTATAAAAACATAAAAACTACTTACCTTCACTACCGCGATAAAATAAATCTTTCAGACACCACAAAATTAAAACATATCTACAATGAAATAAACAAATTAGACTTTAATAAACCAAGTATTATGTACAAATATCCAACAATAGACTTCTTTAAAATATGGCAACAACTTGCTAGTATGCCATATACCCTCTTCGATTTTGACCTCGTCATTTTCGTAACACATCAAACACTGCCTACAAAACAAATATTATACGAGAGAAATCTATGTAGTAACAATAAATGCAGCCTATGCATGAAACATGAGGAAACATTTACACATATCTTCCTACAATGTGAGACAATAAAACTCTATAAACAAAACGTCCAAACCTACCTAAAAGAATTCTCCACAAATAATCATTTTGAATTTAATAAATACACACTACTGTTCCATGATGTAACATCACCAATTTTAATTTGTGGAATACTGTATTACCTGAAAACATTGTGGGAATATAAATGTAAAATCAAACCAAAGAATAGCATAAACAACAAAATAAACACAGATTTGACGCAACAATTTCTCAAAGATTTAAATGCCACTATAGCTATGTATAATCTAACAACAAACACAGATAACCCCCAACTGCCCTAGTAGTGTAACACTGACCCAGTCACCCACTGACCACGATCGAAGTCACATGCTATTTCTAACCTACAATAATTATAAATAAGACACAGGACATGTAGAATGAAAGAATCTATGAACAAAACAAAAAAACTAATCAACTCTTATCAGAATAATAAAGACATTAATATAGATAACACAATAAGAAAACCGTTACCTGTTCACCAGTGAAATAAAAACATCCGGTTACAGTATTCATCGACATCATCCAGTCTCTCAGAGATACATACGACTGACACCTAGTATAGTCTGCCGAATAAAACCGGACTGCACAAATTTTAATGTAATATATTATATATTTATATTTATTATATACTTGTACTTATTATATATTAAAACTTATTATATATTTGTAATTATTGTATATTCAACAATTTGTATATAATAAAAGATTCTAAAAAATTTAAAAAAAAAAAAAAAAAAAAAAAAAAAAAATCCGAGCAATCGAAACTTAAAGTTAACTTATATGGGTAAAATATGTTTTAATGTGTGTGTTGGGAGGGTGGGGGATCAAATTAGTGCACTTTCGATCATAAGGTCTGCCATTGAGTCAATTGCCGTGGTTTTGATCATCGAATGTCCAACCTTGTGGGTTAATGTGACAAAGTACTCTAGAACTTATTGACCCTAGCTAGTTTTTGATAATATATGACATTGACTTTTTAACTCTGTATATATTTCTATTAAGACACGAACTGGCTACGATCTAATTAAACATGTAATTAATCCTATATGTCATTTACAAACAACATATGATCTGTTTACAAGATCCACATGACTTCAAAGGAATACGCACAGGTCAGAAATCATACCATGACGTGATAAGAAGACAATTCCATATATGATCATGAATCTTATCTATTTTCCCTATTGTCGGACCTTATATAACCAGGAGTGTGCTAACAGAGAGACGAGCAGGGAGGAGAAGACAGGCTTGGACGAGTGTTTGGACTCACCCGAGTTCAGCCTCTGTCTTGGCAGGGGGGCGGAATGGTGGTTTTAATATAGTTAATGTACCATCCTGATGTGGTCCTGTATAGTTTAATTTCCTGTATTGTTGTTCTATGTATGTAGCTGTTTTATATACCTGATGCAAATAAACCCTATATGTACGAAACTGATCTCTGTTATCACTAAGATAGTGTTATAGTATTACAAAAAAACCTATAAACATAGCAATCAATTCAGTCTATAATTGTAAGATAGTGGTACATAGGAAATCAGTACCTACAGTACCTGTTATGGTGCCATCGACCAACGAGACCCCTGAGTGTGTTCCCGTGATAATGACGAAAATCCCGCGTGACAGACCAAAGAGTTTTCACCGCTACACACCCGATGAGTTGGTGAACAAAAAACAAATAATGCAGGACTAAAAAGATTATTTTCGAAACCGTGGGTCGCAGACGCGGTTTCCATAGAAAATAATGTTATATTGTCTCCGGTTCCCGCCATTGCTACAGACCTTTTCGCCTAAGCGAATTAATTAAATGAAATTGTACCATGTTTGTCCCGAAATGGGGATCACGTGGCTAAGTGGGTAAGACGCTAGCTCGCTAGCCTGGAGGTCGGGTGTTCGATCCCTGCATTGGCCGAGAAAGTTCATCCAGATTTTCCGGCGTGGTTCTCCCTTGTCAGTGATGCAGGACGGAGGGGCTGACAAGGAAAGCTGTCTAGTCGTTCGGATGGGACGAAAAACCGAGGTCCCGTGTACACATTGGCGTGCACGTAAAAGATCCCTTGGCAGTTGGAATTCGATATAAGAGTAGGCCGTAGTGCCACTGTCCGGGCAAAATTTCCCTCATAGCACACTGTATGGCGTATGCCCGTCTTCATTAGCCCAGGTTAGGAGCAGAACAGTAGGACGTTAAACTCCATTTCATTTCATTTCATTTTGTCCCGAAATGACATAGTTTGTGGCGAGTAGAAGTTACCCCCCCCCCCACTCTCTTCCACCTCTTTCCTTTCTGTTCCCTCTGTCTCTCTCTCTATCTCTTTCTCTCTCCCCCTCTCTCTTTCCCTCTCTCCATCTCTATCTTTCCTACTTTTCTCTTTTTTTCTCTCTCTGTTCCCTGTTTCTCTCCTCCCTCTGTTCCCTCTTTCTCTCTACCCTCCCCCCCTCTCTCTCCCCTCTCCCCCCTCGCCCCCTCTCTCTCCCCCCCCCCCCTTTCCCCGTGTTCATGGTTAGTAAGATAAATTAGTCACAACTTCATCACTGTTGAGTAAACAATATGATATGATATCGTATTTAGCTCACGGTATCTATTTATGGAATCTATAATTATTTGTGTTTATCTTATCACGAATTCACCACTCATACTGAACATATTCACGATTCGGATCATTAGACGGTTTGTTTTGACTACAGGCATATCAACATGAAATCTGGTTTTATTTTCTGGTGTTTGATCAGCATCACACAAGCCAGGAAAAATGTTCTGTTCCTGGTCACCGATGATATGAGACCTCAGCTAGGAGCTTACGAGGGTCCTGATTTTCCAAGCCCCATTCATCCAAAAGTGCATTCACCAAACTTAGATGCATTGGCCAAGAAGAGTCTGTTGTTAAAGAAAGCGTTTGTTCAGGTAGCATTGTGCAATCCCAGCAGAACATCTTTGCAACATTATTGGAGAAAAGTTGGAGGGAATTTCACCACATTACCACAGTACTTCAAAAATAATGGTTACATGACAGTCGGCATGGGAAAAATCTTCCACCCGGGAGAAGTAGCTTCGGGTAACGACGATCCTGTTTCCTGGTCGGTACCGTACTTTCACGCTCACCAAACTCATTATAAAACTAATAGAAACAGTTGGTCGGCTGTCCCAAAACACGAATATGAACAATTCCCATTACCAGATATGATGGTAGCAGATCACGCTGTGCAAGTTTTAAGAGAGGTAGCTCCCAAAGCTAAAAGTGGCGAGCAGCAGTTTTTCGTAGCCGTTGGTTTCCACAAACCACATTTGCCTTTCTTTTTCAGAGAAGAGTTTATGGATTTGTATCCTCTGGATGATATTAGACTTCCTGATAACCCATATGCTCCGGTGCACATGCCGGAAGTTGCATGGTTCGGGTTTCCGGGTTTAAGGGCGTTTGATGATATAAAGAGATTGAATGCCACTGGGGAGATCAACACAACCTTTCCAGATGCCACTGTTAAACTATTGAGACGGGCGTATTATAGCGCTGTTTCCTACACGGATTCCTTAGTCGGACAGGTTATAGAGGAACTGAATCATCTGGGACTTGCTAACGACACTATTATTTCCTTCTGGGGAGATCACGGCTGGGAATTGGGTGAGCATGGAGAGTGGTGTAAGCAAACTAATTTTGAGAATGCTGTTCACGCTCCAATGATGCTTCACGTTCCGGGAGTGACAGACAACGGTGTAGTTACGGAACAATTGACTGAATTTGTGGATCTCTTTCCCACTCTTGTAGAAGCTGCTGGCTTACAGCAGCTTAGTCCTTGTCCAGAAAATTCAACGGATGTCGCATTATGTACTGAGGGAATGAGTCTCATGCCGCTTATTTCCAACCCCAACACGCCATTGAAGAACGTGGTGTTCTCACAGTATCAGAGGGGCATTGATAATCAACCGTGTATGGGATATACGTTACGAACACAAGAATACAGATACACCGAGTGGCCGGCGTTTTCTCAACAACCCGACTACCTTCCCGATTGGAGTAAGCTGTACGGTGTTGAACTGTATAATCGTACGGCCGACCCAGAGGAAAACTTTAACCACGCCTTTGAGGCGAGTTACGCTGGGTTGAGAGAGGTTTTGAGTGCCACGCTTCGCAAGGGTTGGCGATATACAACCCACAAACAATAAAACCCCAGAGCAGTAACTTAAAATATTTATCCTTTTGGAATGCAAAGCTCGATAAAGATAATGCAGTCAGTGCCGGGTTAAGACTTATAATAGACCCTAACAATCTGATTAAAATAAGTTAGAAATTTTATATACGAATTAGTACCAAGCCAATCTAATTACAACACAGATCCTATTTCTTTTCGTTTTTTATAGTTCAAAATTGCGTTTTACTTGTCTGTACTATACTAGGATCTGGAAGAGTTGTTATATAACACGCGTTCTGATTGATGTGAGGAATTGGTCAGTGAAATGGTCTCTTGCAAGGGTCAGTTGACATACGAGCGGCTTTTGACCTATGACGTCAGATATGTGATTACCCAATCAACGTTGATGTTTCTAGTGTGTTACCCACAGTTCCGTGCACCTCACGCCAAAAACCCGCCGTAACAGACCGTTTCATTGGCAATCCCCTCACATCATCCAAAACGCGGGTCATTAACAAATCTTCCAGATTCTACTGAAGTAAAGACAAGTAAAACGTAATTTTGAACTATAAAAAACGAAATGAAATTGGATCTGTGTTTTATTCAGATTGAGCCTTATCAATCATTGCCCGTTTCTGTTATATATGTATTTATGAGTGCAGGTTATCAACTTATTACCCTCCCTGTCCGCTTCTGCTTCTAGCCTCATCCCGTCCCTACATTGCTCAATACGGGGCAACAAATACAAACAGGGGAGCACGGTGGCCTTGTGGGTTATGGAGTCAATTCAATAACCAGGATGTCTCGGATTCGTTCCCAATGTTGGCCGAGAAAGCTCATCTTGATTTGTCAGCGGAGTTTCCCCTTGTCAGCGGAGCCGAGCGGAGAGTCTGGCAAGGAAAAGCGTCTAGTCGTTCGGGTGGGACTAACAAATAAACTCTGGCATTCGATGTAGAGTAGGCGGAAAAGCCGCTGTCCGGTCAAATGTTTTCTCATAGATGGCTGTGTGGCGGATGCCCGATATCATTGGCCCAGTTGGCGCTAAACTGTAGGATGTCAAATACCATTTCATTTCACAAATCCAAATGAAATGAAGTTTAACGTCCTGCTACCAAATCCAAATGACCCTGGGACAGTCAAAAAACGATATCAACAACACACGGATGACCCTGAGATATTTTTAAAACGATAACCCATTTCCACAACAGTATTAGGACACGGCTGATGATAAACATAGATATATATATGGGAACTCTGTAGCTTTGTGTATGTTTCACGAACAGTCCTCGACATGGATCTGATTATAATATTTGTGTGCTGCCTTGTCACGATTCAAGCTCGGAAAAATGTTTTGTTTTTGGTCTCAGATGATATGAGGCCACAGCTAGGGGCTTATGAAGGTGGAGATTTTCCAAGTCCTGTTCATCCCCGGGCGTATTCACCAAATATAGATGCGTTGGCGAAGAGAAGTCTGTTATTGAAGAAAGCTTACGTTCAACAAGCTCTGTGCAACCCCAGCAGGTCGTCCCTGCTGACTGGTAGACGACCTGACACGACGCACGTTTACGACCTCACACACTATTTTAGAACAGTCGGAGGCAACTTCACCACCTTACCTCAATATTTTAAAAATAATGGTTACATGACTGTTGGAATGGGTAAAATTTTCCATCCAGGCAAAGAAGCTTCAGATTACGACGATCCCATCTCGTGGTCAGTACCATACTATCAAGCTAAGCTAAAGGGCGGCCATTACTTTTCAAAGAACCACAGCTGGGTAGCTGTTCCAAAATCCGAGTATGAGATGTACCCGTTACCGGATGATATATTAGCCGACCACGCCATTAAAGTGTTGAGGGAAGTGGCCCCTGCTGCTAAGAGTGGTGAACAACCCTTTTTCGTAGGCCTAGGATTTCTAAAACCCCATCTACCTTTTGTTTTTAGGGAAGAGTTCTTGGATCTGTACCCAATGGAGAACATTAGTCTTCCAGATAACCCATACGCGCCTGTAAATATGCCGGAAGTCGCTTGGTTTGACTTCAGCAACTTGAGGACATTTGGTGATATCCAAAGACTCAATGCTTCTGGCGCTATCAACACAACATTTCCTGATGACGTCGTTAAACAATTACGTCGCGCCTATTACAGCGCCATTTCATACGTGGATTCACTGGTAGGACAAGTGATTCAAGAGTTAGATAACTTAGGGCTTGCCAATAACACCATCATTTCTTTCTGGGGAGACCATGGTTGGGAGTTGGGAGAGCATGGAGAATGGTGTAAGCAAACTAATTTTGAAAACGCTGTTCATGCTCCTATGATGATTCACATCCCTGGTGAAACGGATGACGGAATAGTAACGGAACAGCTGACGGAGTTCGTCGATCTCTTCCCAACCTTAGTCGAAGCCGCTGGACTTACTCCACTCCCCCTATGTCCAGAAAATTCAACCGGAATCCTTACTTGTAGAGAGGGGAAGAGTTTAATGCCTCTTGTCTTTAACCCAGATTTCGAACTAAAGAAGGCTGCCTTTTCCCAGTTCCCGAGGTCTCAAAACGGTAAAGATATCATGGGCTACACGCTACGTACAGAGCAGTACAGATACACAGAATGGCCGGCCTTTAACGGTCAACCTAATTATACGCCCGACTGGACAAACTTGTACGGAGCTGAGTTATACAACCGTACCCACGACCCAGAAGAAAATTATAATCGTGCATACGACAATTGTTATTCGTCAATCAGGGCTGTATTGAGTTCAATACTACGTAAGGGTTGGAGATTCAGTCAGAAGCCTTAATGTATAAGTAGAGGACCGGAACGTACAGTGGACGCTTGCAGCTGGTCTCCGGATCCATTAATTTAATTTGATGATTGCTGTTTATTTCTTACAATGTCTGTGTTGTTGTATCCGCAGGATTGTCTTTTCAGTTTTACACTTAGTATTAGGTCATCAACACGTCAAATTTCATTGATGTACCTGTTTGATTTACCTGTACTATAGGTCTACCCATACTAATGATTTACCTGTATTATTGATTTACCTGTATTATTAATCTATCCGTATTATTGATCTACCTGTATTGATCAATTTTGAGCTATCTGTATTATTGATCGATCTACCTGTATTATTGATCTATCTGTCCTATTCGTCTACCTGTATTATTGATTTACACGTACTATTGATCTACCTGTATTATTGAGCTACCTATGTTATTGATCGATCTACCGGTACTATTTATCTACCTGTACTATTGATCTATCTGCCCTATTGATCTACCTGTACCATTGACCTACCTGTACTATTGATCTTCCTGAATAATTGATCTAATACAGGCAAATCAATAATTTATGCCTTTCGGGATTATCATATAGTATAATTTTATTTCAATAATTTGCTACATTACATTTTCTTCACACCATCTCCTGTCATGCGACGTTTACAATAATTACTGAATTTTGTCTTTAATTCGTGTAATATATATCGATCATCGTCTTTCTCAAAATAAAACGAATCATAAATATGCATATTCTCTTTTCCAATACATTGACGTAACAATGGGCACTTGACAGTATCATCCATAGACCCTAATCCACTATCCACCAAATACTGGTCAAACTCCTGCTCAAATATTTCCCATTTTTCTGTTGAACCATCTTGATCCAGTCGTGGTAAACTTGGTGGTTTTAATGGAAGCCTTCTTTCCATTTCTTTTGTTTTTGTTTTTGTTTTTGTTTTTCGTGGCTACAAATACAGAATTGATGGGATTAGTAGAAATATAGGTTGTCAGACAACGAAACTTGGGGCATGGTGACCATATTCAACAAGCTAAGAACCCGATTTTTCGTACAATCAGGGGCCATAATCTAACAAATTATGGTCCATTTTGCACCAATATCGACCAATATCGAAACGACTCAAAATCGTTTGGATATAACGATATATTTCAATTTTTATCAAAATCTGGTAAAAATTGCGACCTCTAGAAGGTCCACAATCTCCCGAACGGAAATCTGATGTCCATAGAAGTAATCAATACAAATTCGGAATTAAAATGGCGGCTAAATATCGACTTGGATGGTTTTTTTTGGTAAAATCCAATATGGCGGTCAAGCGGTTGAAAATGTTATCGAACAAGGTCTTTGAAAATGATAGATAATATCTGGGGCTAACACCACCATGTCATTTTTGGTTTATTTTAAACATGGAGAGAAATGAAATGAAATGGTGTTTAACGTCCTACTGTTCTGCTCCTAACATTGGCTAATGAAGACGGGCTAACGCGATACAGTGTGCTATGGAGAATTTTGCCCATACAGCTCTTATTTCTAATTCTGTCATGGGTTCGTTTTTGTGCATGTCAACATGTATACAGGACTTTGATTTTTTTGTACCATCTGAACAACTGGATGCTGTATTTGCCAGGCCGTACATCCGGCACCACTGTCAAGGGATCTTTTACATGCATACCAACATGCACTGTAATCCAGACGGGCATACGCCATACAGTGTGCGATGAGGGAAATTTTGCCCGGGCAGCGGCGCTACGGCCTATCTTATATCGAATTCCAACTGCCAAGCGATCTTTAACGTGCACGTCAATGTGTACACGGGACCTCGGTTTTTCGTCCCATCTGACGAAATGTGCTCCTTATTCCTACCAAGTTTCAACTTGATACCTCAAATACTGACGGAGATACGCCATCTTGAATGTAAAAAAATGATGAAGAAAACTTTCGCAAATCTTTGATGTTAATATTAATCGAGCGAACTTTCGAATTTCGAAAAACCGTCAGTCAGAGTCCAAATGGGATTCGTCCAAACTCCAAAGAATCCAAAAATGAAAACCCGAAGAAGATCCTTTGAGAAATAATCGAGATATGGGCAATGTGAGATTAGATTTTGTCTCATCCGCAAAGCACTTCCTGTTTGTCCAAAAAAAACAAAATCTAAAAAAATAGACGCATGGGGGTCAACCACATCTACGTTGGCAGAATGTTTGCACAATGTACAGTTTTGGCTGTTCCTTAGTTCTAAAGCGGAAATTGCAAATTTTTAAGTTATATTTTTAAAATTTATTGAAATAAAGCCTGAAAATAGATGGTATCCATAAATAGTCCTACCTTGTTAAAGAATAATCCTATTAATCCTATAATTTACTATTGCCAGCTGAGAAATTGGCAAAAATATCATTTTCCTCTTCATTTTCAAACGTTTGAAAAAAGCTACTCCATGGCGGAGAATAGAAAACAAGGGAGGTAATTGGGAGGTAATTGTGTTATTATTTTCAGTGTAAATGTGTTTTAAGTGTGAGAATGACACCTATGATCGTATAATTGTGAGTTGACAACCTATTGAGCAAAAGACATAGAAATAATTACGTTTTGACTTTCTTAGAAAATTTGCAATTTTCGCTTTAATGCGCTTTATAAATAAATATTTCATCATTATCATAATCATCATCATCATCCTTAAAGATACTTACCCTTCCAGACATTGTTTGGTGATGATCATCATCATTTGAAGCATAGAAGTTAAAAGCATGCTGAAAGATACTTACCCTTCCAGACATTGTTTGGAAGAAATCTGGAGTAAAATCTGGTACAGTATTACCCATGTCATTCCTTTTTGAAGAAGATACAATAGCAGGCTGAAATGGAAAGAGTATTATTGTTATATATTATTACAGAGTGAAATAAGTTTGAGTTAAGATAAGAGAGAAAGGGTTAAGATAGGTTGCCAGGCAACGAAACATACGCCCACAGCAGCTAAATCGTCCGGGCAGTCAACAAGAGTTGTCGCATATTTTTACTTTTTTCGGTAATGAAACATTTATAATACACTAAAATCTGATTAAGAGCAACAACTCAGAAAACCATTAGAATTTGTTTGGTTTTTATAAAGTTCTGCCCCATGCTAACGTTTTGTATACAAAACTTTTAATATCATGGATTTAGCTGTTCCAAGTCATAAAAATTCATTGAAAATCAATATACTTGTTCCTCTCAAGATCTTAAACTCTGTGTATCAATCTGAAGTCAACCGGATGATAACTTTAGCCTTTAGAGCATCACAAGATTTTGCAAAGTGATCAAGGGCCATAACTTCGGCAGTAATTATCGGAAATCGTTGAAAATCAATAAGATTCTACGTCTCATGACCTTAAACACTGTGTATCAATTTAAAGTCAATTGGATATTAACTTTGGCCTCTAGAGCGTCCACAAGATTTTTTGAAGTGATCAAGGGCCATAACTCTGGTAGTAATTATCGGAAATCGCTGAAAATCGATAGGCTTCTTCGTCTCATGACCTTAAACACTGTGTATAAATTTAAGATCAATCGGATATTAACTTTGGCCTCTAGAGCGTCCACAAGATTTTTTGAAGTGATCAAGGGCCATAACTCTGGCAGTAATTATCGGAAATCGCTGAAAATCAATAAGCCTCTAGAGCTTGTGGACGCCGGACGGACGGACGGGGGCGACGACAATAGACGACCACATTTAAATGTGGGCGTATAAAAAATAACTTTGAGATAAAAGAATGACTACCATGCACTGCACCCTCACAAAGTTAATGAGAGAGAGAAAGAAATGGGGTTTAACGTCCACTCGACACAAACTAGGTCATTTCGGGACTAACATATGGTCTAATTTATTTACATAATTCGCTTGCGCGTAGGGGTCTTTAGCAGTGGGGGGGGGGGGACCGGAGGACCCTGAGAAAACCCACGAGGTTGGACAGGCGACCCTACTCCTTGCCACGTACAACCGGGGATTCGAAACCACAAAGTTAATGAATACCAAGACAAAAGATGAGGGAGGTTAATGAAGGCAGTTTTTTTTATTCGGATCAAGTTTCTTGAGCTCGAACAAAACCAAGACAATTCTAGGGGTTAAAAAGAGGTCAATATAAAACTTTAAAAGGGTATTAGCCTCTATCACCCAGAAAAATATTCTACGAATATCCGTACGTTGACCACGACTGGGGTTTCTGGGTGACTGAGACTATATGACCCATTTCCAAGAATGGGGGTCCCAAGTGTAACTGCCCAGCTTTTCCATGCCTAAATTATGCTTACTTCCACATTAAAGACCCTCATGCAGGCTTTCGCAATCAGAAGACAATTTTAATTTGAAATGAGAAATATTAAATATTGACCAGGGTATATTGAACAGTCATCAGGGTATATTAAATATTGAGCGGGGTATATTGATCAGTCATTAAGGTATATTTAAATATTGACCAGGGTATATTGAACAGTCATCAGGGTATATTAAATATTGAGCGGGGTATATTGATCAAGGTATATTAAATATTGACCAGGGTATATTGATCAAGGTATATTAAATATTGACCAGGGTATATTGATCAGGGTATATTAAATATTGACCAGGGTATATTGATCAAGGTATATTAAATATTGACCAGGGTATATTGATCAGGGTATATTAAATATTGACCGGGGTACATTGATCAGGGTATATGGATCAGTCATTAAGGTATATTAAATATTGACCAGGGTATATGGATCAGTCATTAAGGTATATTAAATATTGACCAGGGTATATGGATCAGTCATTAAGGTATATTAAATATTGACCGAGGTATATTGAACAGTCATCAAGGTATATTAAATATTGACCGGGGTATATTGAACAGTCATCAAGGTATTGTAGTAGGACAGGGTTCGGATACTGGATGCAGCGGCAGCTAATGTCGTGAAACAAACAATAAACAAGATATAATTTGATACTTTTTATTATAAATTAAACAGCAATGGATTCTGGAAATGTGACGTGTGCCCTTAATTTCTCGACTAACTGATTTGCCCGAAATACTAAATAGAAATCATGAAATTTATACGCCAAAGTCTATTTCTCAAACTACGGAATAAATTCATCGATCCTGTACAGTACCTTAACCCACAATTACAAACTAAATCACCGTATTCTTCCTCACGAATCAAGTGAAAAGGCGGCAATGCCTATATCTCCAGTGTCTGACAGTAGAACGCCATGTCTAAACTGCTAGAACACCATTAAAAACGAAATCACCGAATTCTTCCTCACGAATCAAGTGAAAAGGCCGCAATGCCTATATCTCCAATGTCTGACAGTAGAACGCCATGTCTAAACTGCTAGAACACCATTAAAAACGAAATCACCGAATTCTTCCTCACGAATCAAGTGAAAAGGCCGCAATGCCTATATCTCCAATGTCTGACAGTAGAACGCCATGTCTAAACTGCTAGAACACCATTAAAAACGAAATCACCGAATTCTTCCTCACGAATCAAGTGACCAAATTACGATATGGTTAAGTACGAGTATCGATTTAGCGCTCCCCACAGCGAAGCGACAAGTAGATATAAATTATACTATTTTTCCCCGAATCAGAACTATTATCTAAGAGTAAGAAATGCGCTAAAACAATCAAACCGAAATATGAAACGGATGAAAATCAACACAACCTGGTTGATATGAGGCGATTATCGACTCTGACAACCAACCTGTGTCTTAATTATGATAAGGTTACCTTACCTAGGGAGTTGCTAACTGAAACTCATCCGATGAATGATACGCACCCAGTTTTATAGTCGAAGCATGCACGTGCATGACAGTTGATTGGCTCAAATACGCCAAGCAAGTAGAGAAGTTGATGAGTTTGGGCGAGTCGTTTGAAATACATTTAGCAAAAAGGGCGACACTACCACAGTGTATTAAATATTGACCGGGGTATATTGATCAAGGTATATTAAATATTGACCAGGGTATATTGATCAAGGTATATTAAATATTGACCAGGGTATATTAAATATTGACTGGGGTACATTGATCAGGGTATATGGATCAGTCAATAAGGTATATTAAATATTGACCAGGGTATATGGATCAGTCATTAAGGTATATTAAATATTGACCAGGGTATATTGAACAGTCATCAAGGTATATTAAATATTGACCGGGGTATATTGAACAGTCATCAAGGTATATTAAATATTGACCAGGGTATATTGATCAAGGTATATTAAATATTGACCAGGGTATATTAAATATTGACTGGGGTACATTGATCAGGGTATATTAAATATGGACCAGGGTATATGGATCAGTCATTAAGGTATATTAAATATTGACCAGGGTATATGGATCAGTCATTAAGGTATATTAAATATTGACCAGGGTATATTGAACAGTCATCAAGGTATATTAAATATTGACCGGGGTATATTGAACAGTCATCAAGGTATATTAAATATTGACCAGGGTATATTGAACAGTCATCAAGGTATATTAAATATTGACCGGGGTATATTGATCAGTCATCAAGGCATATTAAATATTGACCGGGGTATACTGAATCTGGATAAGCATTAACAGATTGTTGACCAGAGCATATCGAATATTAACCAGGGTATTTTGAGTATTGACCAGGGGTGGATCCAGAAATTTTTGCAGGGGAGGGGAGGGTGTGGTTGTGTCAATTGTCAGGTTCCTGTTAAGGAAATCTGACAGTTGCAATGCATGATGCCATCATCCTCCCTCTCCAAATTACGTATGCATACATACACCTTGTTTGATGTCAATTTTTATTATAAATTAATAGGATTCGATTCAATTTCATCGATGTAAAGCATTAATTATGATATCACACATGTCTATATCATTATCTCCCGCTTTGAATGCCCATCCCATCCCACCAACTGATGATAAAGTACACGTGATACTTTTCTCATAAAAGTCTTTTTTGTTTACCTTTTTTTTGTTGACTAAGGTATGAGCAGGTTATATTGACTAGGGTATATTAACTAGGGTATATCGACAAGTGTATATTGACCGGGGTATATTGATCAGGGTATATTAAATATTGACCGGGGTATATTGACCAGTGTATATTGACCGGTGTATATTGACCGGGGTATATTAAATATTGACCCGCGTATATTGACCGGGGTATATTGACCAGTGTATATTGACCGGGGTATATTGATCAGGGTATATTAAATATTGACCCGCGTATATTGACCAGTGTATATTGACTGGGGTATATTGATCAGGGTATATTAAATATTGACCAGTGTATATTGACTGGGGTATATTGACCAGTGTATATTGACTGGGGTATATTGATCAGGGTATATTAAATATTGACCGGGGTATATTGACTGGGGTATATTGACTGATAATGGAAGAAGGTATGAGCAGGTTATATTGACTAGGGTATATTGACTAGGGTATATCGACAAGTGTATATTGACCGGGGTGTATTGATCAGGGTATATTAAATATTGACCGGGGTATATTGACCAGTGTATATTGACCGGGGTATATTAAATATTGACCCGCGTATATTGACCGGGGTATATTGACCAGTGTATATTGACCGGGGTATATTGATCAGGGTATATTAAATATTGACCCGCGTATATTGACCAGTGTATATTGACTGGGGTATATTGATCAGGGTATATAAAATATTGACCAGTGTATATTGCCTGGGGTATATTGACCAGTGTATATTGACTGGGGTATATTGATCAGGGTATATTAAATATTGACCGGGGTATATTGACTGGGGTATATTGACTGGGGTATATTGAATGATAATGGAAGAAGTTGAGTATAATACAATTTAATAATTAACAATTTTTTTTTTTATCTTCACCATTCATTTATTTACAACTTGTCAAATTATTTTTTTTTACGTCATCATATTTAAATATTTCCCCTTTTCATCTTCAGCTTGTCAAGAAGCACAAGAAATCGTATTTGCAACAATCACAGTTTGTTTAGCAAAAAAAAAAAAAACCCATTGGCAATGGCAATGGCAATATTTTTCAATTTATGTATAATATACTCAAGTTCACCATAGTTACCGTGTTTGTCGATAACTCGGTTTATATATATATACACCACAATGTTTAGTTTATTCATGGTTATCCAGTCACAAATTGTCATTTATTTCACCGTGAATTATTAATATGCTCCAATTGAGTCTACCACATAGCATTTATACACGATTGATGTCTGTCATAACGACACTGATTGTTGTCTGTTTATTCTCCGTTAACACATATGATGCATGTATTCGTAATATTAAATCTGTCGAGTTTGCATATAGATTATGCAAGTAAACCAGTCCACAATCTGCGATCACTGTTCATGATCATTTCAATTTGAAAAAATCCAAAAATTCCAAGAAAAGAAAAAGAAAATATATCTGCATACACATTCACATAATATGAAAAACAAAATTTCCAAAAATTCTTGGATCACATTTAGAAGTCATCCATCCCCACAACTGCTATATCTCCATAACGATTAAATTAAATTAGGTCGATTTTATTTTATTTATTTTCGTCACCATGGCATCACATACTTCATTTGTAGCTAATTAATTAACAAAAAAAATCAATTATTCAAATTTCATGTATATATATATATATATATAATTATATATTACTCTCAATAAACAAAAGGTCGCCAGTTCAAGGTCACAAAATAGGTCACTATCTAGGCAATATGTGATAGCAACCTTTGTAACTTGACAAGCTTTAAGCCTATGTACAGCGGAAACTATAAATTAATCACAATTCACAAGCTTACAATGTGAATCGAGCACTCAATATTTGCCGTATAAATTATTTGAAGTTTTGAGTCAGTCACGTGATAATATTGCAACAGACGAGAGATATCCCTGCTAGAAATTCTATAAATAGCTAATCACGGGGAACCGTTCTCAACTTTCGTCTTGTTCGCCTTCCTTTAGCCAGGCAAAGAACTGAACAACTTGTTTCATGGCAACTCCTTTTCCTTCCTGTTCCGCGGGGTCGGTATTATTAGACCATTGATTAAAGGCATCTTCAGATATAATATCCTCATCGTACAAGGTTTCAAAGAATGTTCTCAGCACACCTGAAAGAGAGAGAAATGGAATTTAACATTCACTCGACAGAATTTATTCAATCACCAGGCCCCGAGTTCACGAAGCATTCTCAGACTTAAGAATTTACTCAACTTTCAATCACTGTTTATGATAAGATCTTTGATCCAGAAACACAAAACTTTGCACATAGTTTCTTATTGATGTATTTGATATATTAAAACAACACAAGTTTTATAAAGGGCTATATCTTAGTTAAAATAAGGCAAACAATTTTGAGTAAATTCTTCACTGAAGTCTGAGAATGCTTTGTGAACTCTTGAGCCTGGTTTCTACAGCCATTTTTAAAATATAACAATATAACTATTCTGACTGATCGATCTACTAACCACGATGCACTGACTATTCTGACCGATCGATCTACTAGCCATGTATTGACTATTCTGACCGATCAATCTACTAACCACGATGCACTGATTATTCAGACCGATCGATCTACTAACCACGATGCACTGACCATTCAGACCGATCGATCTACTAACCACGATGCACTGACCATTCTGACTGATCGATCTACTAACCATGATGTATTGACTTTTCTGACTGATTGATCTACTAACCACGACCTATTGAATATTCTGACTCATCAATCTACTAACCACGATGTATTGATAATTCAGAAACGAAATGAAATGGAGTCCAACATCCTGCTTTTCTGCACGACTGGGCTAATGAAGATGGGAATACACCATTAAGTGTGTTGTGAGGGAAATCTTGTGTTACAGCCTACTCATATCAAATTTCAACTGCACGACACTCTCAATAAGTACACAGGACCTTGGCTTATTTTTAACTCGTACAATGTTACAAATGACATTTAAAAGAAGCAAATCAGTACGAGGAATTCTGTCTGTCATCATTAGAAATAAGACTGGGATAACTATAGTTCATCATTTTGCTTATTGTCAATTCGTAAATTGTAAATGGCCAAAAATATTGAAATAACATTATTAAGCCACCAGATAAATGGCAAATAGAATGAAAAGTATATGGGGTTTTATGTCCAATTTTTCTGAAGTGTGTGTTTCCAGTATCAACAAGGGGAATCCATGCTCAGTAATCCCAATGACTCTTTACATTTCTAAGTGGCTAAATATGCAGTGTAAGGGAGAGAATTTTAACATATGAAATCACAAAAAACCTGTTCCAAAATTGATCACTTCCACAAATAGCTAAATATACAAATAACATTGGATAATAAAATATATAAATAACATTGAATAATAAAATATACAAATAACATTGGAATAATAAAATATACAAATAACATTGGAATAATAAAATGGATTTCAATAATAAGTAGATGTTTAATTACCTCCGGGATGTTGAAGTTCGTTAACAAAAGCTTGTAGAGCATATAATGCCTGTATTTCAAATTCTTGTTGACTATCTAAATATTTTACTAATAACGACTGACGTTGTTTAATAACATTTTCATTTACTTTATAATTTGGCCCTTCTGAAAAATAACAGAATTAGAATTATAGAATACTTCTAAATGTAGATTTTGTTCTTATATCGAATTCCAATTATCAAGGGATCTTTTACGCATGAGCCAAGTTATCGGCATTACATAAAGAGTGTAGCCTCGATTGTCATTGCTACCGTTGTTACGATAAATAACAATCGTGATCATACATTTTTACATCAGCCGTAAAACGTATTTAGTGTGTTTAAGTGGTTTACATTTTCACACAACAATTTAACTAGTTGCACATTTACAGGAAATACGTTAACTCAAATATTCAACAAATATTAAACATGACATTTTAAATAGCAAATCAGTACGAGGAATTCTGTCTGTCATCATTAGAAATAAGACAGGGATAACTATAGTTCATCATCTTGCTAATTGTCAAGTTGTAAATCGCAAAAAAACATTGTATAGAATGGAAATGAAATTAGGGAGAGAGAGAAATGGTGTTTAACGTCCACTCCACACAAATTAGGTCATTTTAAGACTAACATATGGTTCGATTTTATTTCAATAATTCGCTTGTGTGTAGGGATCTTTAGCAGTGGGAGGAAACCGGAGGACCCAGAGAAAACCCACGAGGTTGGAGGAAATGAAATTGGTATTTCAGAGGAATACCCAAGAGAGGTTGGCCAGTAGACCCTGTCACAAGTAATTTTGAGATCGAAACCATGCCATTTGACTCAATGACAGACTTTATAATTTACTACGCACGGGTTAACCCATTAGGCCACCCTATTCCCCCCTCCCAATCACCAAAATGAAATCGAGTTTAACGACAACAGTTCACTCGTTCCCGATTTTATAAACAGGGAAAAAATAATCAAAATAGATCAACACTCACCAGATACGGCACTTTTACAGACGGCAGTCATCAACGTACGAATAAACTTGGGATTTTTCGTAGATTCATCTGGGATGTTGGCCTGAAAAGATATTTAAATTATATTCGGAACAATTCATTCACTCAACAGTGGGAGTAAACCGAATCACCCCGAGAAGAGAGAGAGAGAGAGAGAGACAGAGAAAATGAGGTTTAACGTCCACTCGACATAAACTAAGTCATTTCGGGACTAACATATGGTTTAATCTTATTTCAATAATTCGCTTGCGTGTAGGAGTCTTTAGCAGTGGGAGGAAACTGGAGGACCCGGAGAAACCCACGAGGTTGAACATGCGACCCTACTCCTTGTCACGTACAACCGGGCATTCGAAACCACGTCAGTCGACTCAATGACAGACTTTATGATAGAGCGCGCGCACGCTAACCATTCAGCCATCCACCCCCCCACACCCAGAGAAAACCCACAAGGTTGGACTGGCGATCCTACAAGTGAGGAATCGAAAACGAGACACCTCGACGGACCGCAAGACCTAAAACACATGCCTGAGATTATTCGGCCACCCAACCCCAATATCTTGCATCTTGCATCTTTTTCTTACCTCAATCCAATCAAACATATGTTCATTATCAAAATTCACATCACGTAAACGAACTAATAATTGTTCTTGAATAGTTTCAAACGACACTTTATCCACAGGAGTGGAAGGCTGAGAATCGGCCGCAACTGTAAATTCTAACTTTTCATCAGCCAAAAATTCGGTAACATTTTCAGCAGACACAAAATCAGTCCATTCTAATGCAGAACTCTTCCATAAAGACGCAACTTTCTTGTGTCCCTGGAAAATATAAATCAATATTTGTCAATATTCTGTATATAAACGTAAAATAGGGATTGAAAAGTGAATAGACAATTTCAGTCCAATTACTCTACGTGAAGTTATTCAATAATCAAGAATAAGTCTCGATTATCTATTTCATCATTAAATTTTCAAATGGCACCAGTGTTCTAAATCTACTTAAAATCAAGACTATCAGAAGGTCCATCGAGTTGACGATGGGCCTGTCATGTGAATACATGTCTAATAGTAAGTGCAGGAGGACCGCACTACACGTAAAACAAAAATCTACAAGATAAACCTGCGGACAAGACAGAAAATAGAAATTGCACCAAATAAACAAATATCAAATCAAGTGAATTTTAACATCTAGACGAAGGATCTGCAGTAGGCACAATTAGCTATTACATTATGCCTCTTTGCTTCCGTATACAGTTTTGATCTGTAAATCATTGGCATCCATATTTGAATATTCTATCTACTGTCAAGTCGAAGTATGACAGTGGGAATAAATGAGATGTCCGTGAGATAATCCACAACGCAAGGACACTTGACGATACTTACCAATCGTTGACTAGCGTCATGCAGAACAGCCGCCACAACCACTCCAGACTTGCCACTGGCTTGTAAAGGTTCACACGCTTGTTTCAGGAAATTTAATGGTACACTTCCATCTTGGATCATAGGACCGATCAATTCCCCTAAATACTGCCAAATCTTTGGAATATCAATCTCCATATCTTCTGCTATTTGTAACGTTTGATTCAATCTAAAATAAAGTAATTCTATGTTAATCATCAGAAATACTTTGTCGTGGTTCAAATTTATTTCAATAATTTGCTTGTACATAGAGGTCTTTAGCAGTGGGAGGAAACTGGAGGACCCAGAGAAAACCCGCCACTTGACTCAATGGCTGAAATGAAATGGGGTTTAAGGCCCAACGGGGCTAATGACGACTAGCATATGCTATACTGTAATTTTGTCTGCATAGAGGCGCTATGGCCTGTCTTATTTTGTCCGTCAATCGATGTGCAATTGTTCAAAGAGCAAGCATGGCAAATTTAATGTCAATCGGATTCAAATTGGCCGAACTTGTTTAAAAAAGAGATGCTCCCAGAAAAACAAGATTACAAAGTGTTGGAATCATTGCTTAGTTCAGAGCTCAAGGAAGAAACTTTCTAAAAGACTTGATGCCTTGAGTCACCATCAGGGTTCTTTGTTACCAATATTCCACGCTGAATTTGTACTTACCCTTTAAGGTAGGAATCAACTGAGATTATTTTTTTGCTAACTAATTCATGATGAAGATGTCCGGTCTGTTGACGTGCTTTAGACGATCTTTCTAACACATGATTAATAGAGAATTCTATAAATAAATGGACAGTTGCTGGATTGCTGATCTCGGAAACACACATTAAAGCTTCCTGTAAAACAATAACCAAACTCTATAAATCACATTCACTCATCAACAAATATATATTAGTTAATCTACAGGTAATATACCAAGGACAACCCAAAACATTAGTAAAATACCCCGGACGACCCAAACATTAGTTAATCCACAGGTAATATACCCAAACATTGTATAATCCCCAAAAGGTAAATTATTAATTATACATAAAGATTGCCTTGTTTCCATGGTAACCAAGCTCCAGTATATTTACCTTGAGATCATTAATATGAAGATATTCATCAATAATAGTTTTTGTTTTCTTTTCCATTTCATCTTCTGATAAAATACCAGGAACCGGAGCAGCTTCTGGTTTATCCATTCTGGGTTCTCGGGATCGGCTACTTTCTCTACTGGCAGGATTAGAAGATGAGGGCGTCGTCCTTCCAGTTAGATTCCTTTAAACCAAGAATTTTGTATCTAAAGATGCATTATGTAAAAGATAAATCTGCCTGTTGGCTTCAAATGTTTTATTATTTTGATATTTATTAACATGGCTCGTCTATAATCAACTCTCTAGAGCATCAGATGGCCGTCATTTAAACAGATCAAATAAACGGTCGAAATTTAACCACCAGGTTAGCAAACTAAAGTCTTACTCACTGAGCCACAGTGGCTGTTTGCATATATAACATGTTCCACGATATTTACCTGACATTAGCTATAGCTCTGTCTCTTTCTCCCTCCATTGAAGATCGTGGTGTTAAACGACCTCGACCAAATCCTCCACCCTGTCCACGATTTCTGCTATCGCTACGAGCAGGACTGATTCCACGACCAAAGGGTCTACCACCTTCCTCTTCAGTACGTAATCCAGTAAACCTACAGATAGATAAACATAGTTTTAAAGGAAATATTATCAAGTACCCACTTGCTAGGAATACACGAAATGGGGTTTAACGTCCTACTGTTCTGCACTCACTGGGCTAATAAAGATGGGCTAACGCGATACAGTGTGCTATGGAGAATTTTGCCCATACAGCTCTTATTTCTAATTCTGTCATGGGTTCGTTTTTGTGCATGTCAACATGTATACAGGACTTTGATTTTTTTGTACCATCTGAACAACTGGATGCTGTATTTGCCAGGCCGTACATCCGGCACCACTGTCAAGGGATCTTTTACATGCATACCAACATGCACTGTAACCCAGGTATCATTTAATCTTGTGTATCTAGCACTAATTTCTTTCACATTCGTTTAATATCCAATCTTTGTTTAAAAATTCGCAAAAACTGTTTAAAATCACCATAAATCGTTTAATTGTTACTTCTGTCCAGTTTAAAGCTGACTATTCAATTTTGATAATGAGTGTCCAATTTACAAGTGTTTAATTTCTCAATCACTTAAAAAATAAGCAACCCAATTGACTAATGATGTATAATGATTAATTTTTGAACAGTGGTCAGGAAATTAAATACTTGTAAATTGAACACTCATTATCAAAATTAATCAGTCAGCTTTAAACTGGACACATTAAAAAATTAGATGATTTTTGGTGATTTTAAACAGGTTTTTGCAAATTTTTAAACAAAGATTTGATATTAAACGAATGTGAAAGAAATAAGTGCTAGATATACAGGATTAAATGATACCGGGGTTACAGTGATGTAACCTCTATTAGCGGCTGCATGGTTAATTAAGTCATGATAAACGATCATTGTAGACCATACTCCTTAACCTCTACTAGTGGCTGTGTGATTAATTATAGCATGATCAACTACCACCAGTATCTGATTAAATATATATGTTACAGTGTATAGAACACTGACTCCTTTATCTCTATTAGTGGCTGTGTGATTAATTAAGTCATCATCAACTACCACCAGCATCTTATTGTCTAAATATGTTAGACCCCTTTACCTCTACAGGTAGCTATATGGTTAATTAGGATACTCCAGCATACTCTTGTCGATCAATGTAATTCTATGTTAGAGGAAACTATTGTCAAGAAATGTAAATATATGCTAGAGTATATATCTTTATAACGTCGAACACCAACTCCTTAACCGCTACATGTAGCTGTATGGTTAATCAAGATATATACTTGTTGCAAACATAAACATTATTTATTTCCACTGAATGGTTGTTTAGATCATCAAGCTAACCAGAAATGGAAATCAAAACGAATTCTATAATTACCTATTAGCAGGAGCATTAGCCGGTGATTCGCCTTCTTGAGACGACGATTTTGTATGTCCACCACCACTACTTCCACGACCCCAAACACCAAATCGAGATGAACCTCCTCCAGGTCCCAACTGGATGTTCTCATCTACTGTAGTCTGGAATATAAGGATTTTGTTTTAAGTTAGAGCATACTTTTTTTGTGTGTGAATAATTAGATAATTTTTATCAAGTCAGGCAATATCAGTAACGAGGAATTCAACTGTCATCATTAAATATAAGACAGGGATAACTTTAGTCATCATTTTGCCCCTTTGTTCGGAACCATTTTTTTTTTTTTTTTTTATATATCAACAGACGAAATCTACATTAAATTGACTTAAAATTATTACCTTGGTAATTTTCATTTTTGACAGATCTATGTTACGGAGAGGTTTAGAAGCGACAGTATTCCAGCCATCATCATTACGTTGATTATTCTGTTGTGGTCCTCCTCTATTTGGGGCTGCAAATAACCAAATTATATATCAAAAGTTCTTTATTCTGACTTATTTAAACTATTATTTTGACATTTACAGGTCTTTATTTTGGCTTTAAATGTTATATTCACATGAAAATAAAAAGGTGAATAATACAAATTTATACTTAGGATGATAAGCACGCACACCATTTCATTTCTATTATTAATCTTAGTACAGTTTAATTTAGACCAAATTAAGGTAAAATTAGACCAATGCATACAGTCCAATTTATTACTGCTAGAATATAACAGGAGAGCCACTGTGGCTAAGTGAGTAAGACGCTGGCTCGCTAACCTGGAGGTCGCGGGTTCGCTTGGTTTCCCCTTGTCGTTCAGAGATCTTGTGTACACATTGGTGTGCAAGTAAGAAATTCCTTGGCAGTTGGAATTCGATATAAGAGTAGGCCATAGTGCCACTGTCCAGGCAAAATTTCCCTCATAGCACACTGTATGGCATATATACCCTTCATTAGCCCAGTCGAATCAGAACAGTAGGACGTTAAACCCTGTTACATTTCATTTAATTACTTTCAGTAGGCCTACCACTGATTGCAACATCAATATGTATTCTATTGGCAGACCAAGTAACTCTGAACCCTTGAACCATCAGATTTTACCGTTATTTCATTAGCTGACAAAAGGGATTTATTTATTTTGAAAAGAAATATGTATGTTCGCCCTTGGTGTTCTATATTAACCAGCCATGTAATAAAAAAATACATTAACTTACGTCCTCCACCACGAGATCGTCCACCATCACGGCTCTGTTTATTTGAACTTTGAGGTGGATTCTGGGATAGCATATAAGTTCTCTGTGCGTTTTCTTTAGCAGCTTCTTTATGGATCTGATCGATAGTTTTAGGATTATTATCTTCTCTTCTTGGCACCCAGTTACACTACAATATAAATATATTATTCATCAATGAACATCAAATAATTCAATATATAAACATTGTGTTCAAGCAAGTTATATCCAGATATAGGGAACAATAAAACAATGAATCACTGATCAGAAATAGCTGAACAACGAAAAACTCACCAATCGTAAATCTATAACATCCTGTAACATAAATCGTACTCTTGACGATGTTTTCTTCTCTCCAACGATTTTCTGCATTTTCTGAAAGTACTGATCTACTCGAATCTGAAAGATAAAAGAATTTCTTAGCAAATCGTGATGACAAAAATAAACATGTCGCTTACAGTTGATATCAAGCAAAATCAAAAATAGTAAAGAGTATGTCAGCTCGATCAGGTGATGATTATCCAGCCCCAGATGTCAATGGAAAGTAACCACTCCTATTTACTGGGTTGCCTGCTGGAGGTCCGAGAATAGTAACCCCTTCTTTCCCGGTTAACCTTTCTGTCTGCATGATGGCTGAAGTAAATATCTCCCCCTTCCTGCATGAAATTCAAATATGGTTAGGATCAATTTTATTACTCAACAACATCAAGTGTAGTATGTCTTACCTTAGCCTTTTCTATATCCAATTCTTTTCCTATTGTGGTTAATAATCTACATAAACATTCTAAATTCTCTTCATCTCTCGACCGTAATAATTTAAATACACAATCATGCATAATGTTCTCTGTTAACATTTTTAATTTAAATAATTCTCCTATAAATCTGTAAAAAGACAATACACTAACTGATGGAATCAATCTGACAATATTATTTATTAAAAAAAAGAAATGAAATGGGGTTTAATGTCCTATTCTGCTCCGACTAGGCTAATGAAGACAGGCATACTTCATGTAGTGTGCAAAGAGGGACAATATGACCAGGCAGTGGCACTACAGCCTACTTTTGTATTGAATTACAACTAAGGGATCTTTTACAAGCACGCCAATGTGTACACAGGACCTTGGTTCTTTGTCCGATCTGAACGACTCTGACAAGGGGAAATCACTCTGAAAATACCGATGAACTTTCTCTACCGACCACGGGAGCGAACCTGCGACCTCCAGGCTAGCGCGCCACTGTAGCTCCGATCGTCAATGGAGAGAGAGAGAAATGGAGTTTAACGTCCACTCGACACAGACAAGGTCATTTCGGGAATAACATACGTTTTTTGTTGGGTTTTTTAAAATTTTATTTCAATAATTCGCTTGCGCGTAGGTGTCTTCAGCAGTGGGAGGAAACCGGAGGACCCAGAGAAAACCCACGAGGTTGGATAGGCAACCCCAATCCTTGTCACGTACAACCGGGAATTCAAAATCACCCCAGTTGACTCAATGACACTCTGTATGATACATCGCGCGCGTGCTAACCATTCGGCCATCCAACACCCCCATCGTCAATGGAACCAAGGATGAGCACTGACCATCAAACCAGCTTGAAAAAAGTCTGGATATCTCTCAGGCTGACCTTAAAAATATCTTTGTTTCGCCTAACGCGACCGACTAACTAAAACCACCCCCGACTTAAATTATTTTATTGCACTTTTCCACGATCTTTTTATTTTATTTTGTGTGTCAACCTGAAATATATCACGAGAGTTATTTCCCTTTACTATGGCTATGGTTTGATTCATTATTGAAACTGGTTGATCAAGACGAAAGCGTCATAGGTGTCGCTTCTCAACAAAATGGTTGCAGACGAATACACGTCCATTCCCACGAAATGATTCTGCTTCTATGTCTGTGGTGCATAGTTTTAAACATGACGATATTTTCAATATCCGTTTTCGAGAAAAATGAAGGCACAACCCGCAGTATCGTTAAAAACGTGTTGAAAGAGTTTCACACTTCAAGTTCGTGGCAAATCGTGTGCGAGTCGGGCATCACGAAAAATTCCCGATGACATTCACTCATTGATTTTTTTGCCAATTGAATAAAGAAGACGAATGTTTCCACCCGGAAAATTATTAAGCTGTCAAATTAGCTCTTAAGTTTAATAAAAAAAACTTTCAGTTCGTTACTTTTTACGTCAGACCCCAAATACATTAAACAAAATTAATGAATCTGTAGTATACAGCTAATAAGTTTTCTGTATTGATTTCTCTAACTTTAAAAAAAAAATCTGAAAAAAAAACCGACCTACCGACCCTTCTCCTCGATTGTGGGTCGGGTTTGGTGAAACAAAGATATTTTTAAGGTCAGCCTCATGACATGGAATCAAGCTGGCAATATCAGTAACGAGGAATTCAACTGTCATCATTTAATATAAGACAGGGATAACTTTAGTCATCATTTTGCCTGAATTCCATCCATAAAAAGATTCCATTTTAAAAAGTGAAATCTTTTGGTCATGTTTTTTATTTTAAAATTGACTTTTTTTTGTTTGTAATGATGATACGTCTAGTAATTACAACAAATGAAATAGTTAAACTTTTTACCTGATATTTCCTATAGATCTTCTCCTGGCTGTCGTTGCAGCAATCTCCATTTCTTCTTGTAATTGTTTCTTCACATCTTCCTGGAAATCCGAAATAAACCATGGTAAATTCACATGAATCAGGTTCTTAATGACAATATAAAGGGAAACAGTCGAAGAATCTAACAAGAGTGGTGGTAGTGGTGGGATAGGTCTAATAGTCTAGAGTGTCGCGCTTCGATATTACCATCGGTTTAAGAGAGAGAGAAATGGAGTTTAACGTCCACTCGACACAAACTAGGTCATTTCAGGACTAACATATGGTTTAATTTTATTCAATAATTCGCTTGCGCGTAGGGATCTTTAGCAGTGGGAGGAAACCGGAGGACCCAGAGAAAACCCACGAGGTTGGATAGGCAACCCCACTCCTTGTCACGTACAACCGTATGATACATCACGCGCATGCTAACCATTCGGCCATCCATCCCCCCACCATCGGTTTAAACAGTGATTATCTAGTCATTTGGATGGGACAAAAAACCTTGGGTTAAAAATCAACCATCAGTAGCTAGAATTCTATCAAGAGTAGGCGAAAAAATTCTCTCATAGCACATTATCATATAAATTGAATTTCACAAGTGAACTCACTGATGTCGCTTCATCTATTTTCTTCTGTCGAGCTTCTAAATCTATTTCCACATCTTTATCTTTCTCAAATTCTCTCTGACATTTAGTTAATAAAATAACCCGGAAATTTACTTTCTCACCAGGTTTGCTATCAGACGGAACTTTCAACTGTAAATAAATCATTTTAATTAGATTAAAGTAGCTAAGTCTAACTCAATATCATCCAAAGTCTTACACGTTGAAAATATGAATTATTTGTCAATTCAAATCAACATTGATGTTGTGATCTTACCAGGAAAAGGCAGGCTTCTGATATCCAATATTTAAGACAAAATAAACATTTGACCATTGGTACACGCGTGTACCATAGTGCGTTTTAGCGTCATTTGCAACAAGTGACCAGAAAGAACGGGGCTAGACATATTCAACTGGAGAGCCTGCTCAATAGACTGGAATAACCAGACGCTAGAAATTGCTATAGGGTTGAGGCACATGCTGTATTTCGCTGAAATAATCCTTAAAATAATGAAAATACAAGTTTTAACTGCTGAATAATTCTAATTTCTTAAAACATCAACATGTCGTAACATTTAATTCTTCAATGAATATCAAATCAGTACGAGGAATTCTGTCTGTCATCATTAGAAATAAGACAGGGATAACTATAGTTCATCATCTTGCTAATTGTCAGCTCTAGCGCAGAATTTTTAAAATAATATTTCTATTTCTGGCTATCTCACAACCTTTCAGAAAAAAAACTTGAATGGATTTGAACTAGTTCATCCTTTTAACCTTGTAACGAATTAAACATCAAAATGTTTTTCAGATTTTCATCGAAAGAACCCCGATGAGGATGAGATATTTATTAGAGGAGAAAGTTTGTTTTGATGTACGTACCTGCATAAGATATCTACACATATTAGCATAGGCTACACTAAATGCTGGTTCACTCACAGCCTATAAAATATAGATAAAACAAAATTACTTACACAACTAAATGTTAGCAAAAGATACGACTCAGATCTTAAAAGCTGAATGGAATCAAGCTGGCAATATCAGTAACGAGGAATTCAACTGTCATCATTAAATATAAGACAGGGATAACTTTAGTCATCATTTTGCCGTAATTCCATTGGAATTATAAATTATTTTTGTCAGCGCCATAAATTTCGAGGAAAATTCTCACCTTTTCAAATATTAAATCTGTGACACCTTTTAATCTTGTTTCTGTGTCGATATTTAAATCCTGAACTTGTTTTAATAAAGTCTGGAATTTCTGAGGAGTTAATTTATTCAAAATACTTTTAACACGTTTGTAGATTTCCTGTAAGATTAGACAAACTTATGTTATGACAAGATTATGGATTCTATTTGAGCTGTGTCGACATGACCCAATAAATAAAACTAAGTCATTATGGCAATATCAGTAACGAGGAATTCATCTGTCATCATTAAATATAAGACAGGGATAACTTCAGTCATCATTTTTGCCTGTTAGGGATTCATATCATTTATAAAATAGATTTACCGAATGTTTCACGAAGATTAATGTTTACATAAGGCTGGCACAGGGCGTGGAAAGGTTAAAGAATTGGATTCAATGTCATCTTTTTGATTTGCAACTGCCAAGGAATCTTTAAAGTGCTTGCCAATGTGTACACGGGTGAACTTTCGTTTTTCGTGCCATTAGAATCACTAACTGAAATGGGATATAATGTCCTACTGTTCTGCTCCCACTGGGCTAATGAAGACAGGCATATGCCATACAGTGTGTTATGAGAGAATTTTTGCCTAGACAGCGTCACTACGGCCTACTCTTATATCGAATTCCAACTACCAAGGGATCTTTTACATGCACTCCAATGTGTACACAGGGCCTCGGTTTTTCGTCTCATCCAAACAATAATACGTTGTCCCTTGCCAGGCCCACTGTCCTGCACCACTGACAAGGGGGGAATCACGCCAGAAAATCCTGATGAACTTTCTTGGCTGAAGCAGTGATCGAACACGTGACCTCTAGGTTAGCGAGCCAACGCCTCACCTACTGTGCCACTGTTCCCCCCCCCCCCCCCGCATGCCCGAGAACTGGGTCTGAAAAATCCCTGAATGATATGCTTTGCAGACAGGTAAATCTCATTAAAATATAAAAAGTTTACCTGTGTTCTGGCTTCAGTTTCATCAAGCTCCTCACTTTTAGCTGTTTCCACCTTTCTACCGGGTTCCCAAGCATTTTCAGCTTTATGTAGTTTAATATCTTGTGATATAGACACAGCTTTTATAATTTTCTTGGGTCCATCATTTCGAGGTCCTTGTTGACTGTTCCTTTTCTTGATCATTTGACTAGAGCCGGACTGAAAATACAATTTGTGTGAAATTGATAAAAAGCTTGTTCTAGAGTTGGACTGAATTTGTGTGACTTTTTAAAAAAGAATGTTGATAAACATGCTGCCAACTGTGTGCATGGGACCTATTATATTTTTTATTTTTCTATCGGAATGACAAGACACTTTTGCTTGCCAGGCCATATATCCTGCACAAGTTAAGATGGTAACTTTCATGACCACACAACGTGATCAAATTTGGGATCTACTGGGTCCGATTGTGAGACCAATATAACAGACCAGTCATAGACCAATCTAAGTGACAGGCTTGCCGTAGGCCAATTTGACAGCCTTGTCATAGGCCTTGACTAAGTGACAGGACTACCGAAGGCCAAACTGACCAAGGGACATGCTTGCTGTAGGCTAAGTGACTGGCTTGCCGTAAGCCAATGTAAGTGACAGGCCTGCCATAGGCTAACTTGATGCTGTTTTGTTTCAATTTTTATATGTACCACATCCAAGGTATTCTGGGTGGTATAGGTGTACTGAACATTAGACTGAGCATGGAATAATTTTTATATCAATTTTAGAAGCAAAAGCATGCTGAAAGATACTTACCCTTCCAGACATTGTTTGGAAGAAATCTGGAGTAAAATCTGGTACAGTATTACCCATGTCATTCCTTTTTGAAGAAGATACAATAGCAGGCTGAAATGGAAAGAGTATTATTATTATATATTATTACAAAGTGAAATAAGTTTGAGTTTAGGTCTAGAAATATGATTTTTAAATAGATTTATTAGTATTACCCATGTCTATTCTGGAAGTATTATTGACTGGATTGTGTTACTGGTTTTATTTTTTTTAAATAGAAATTTCATTACCATCGTGATTTACAAAAGATTCACGTTTAATTCAATACTTTCATTTGACTTAAATCAGGAAGTCTAACTCCTTTAATGCAGAATTCAAATCAGGAAGCCTAGCTCCTTTAGTGTTGAATTCAAATTAGGAAGCATTGGTCCTTTAATGTGGAATTCAAATCAGGAAGCCTTGGTCCTTTAATGTGGAATTCAAATCAGGAAGTTTATTAGCTCCTTTAATTTGGAATTCAAATCCTGTACTCCCATATCCTTACAGTAACCCAAAAGTATTCAACAAATATCACAAACAACATTTTAAATAGCAAATCAGTACGAGGAATTCTGTCTGTCATCATTAAAAATAAGACAGGGATAACTATAGTTCATCATCTTGCTAATTAATTGTAAATCTTTTTTTGGACATCCCTCACAACCCTTTAGAAACAGACTGCAAAGGATTTGATCTGATATAAAAAAAAAAAAAAAATAAAAAAATACAGAAATTTTTACTTTTAAAGGAGAGGGGAAGTACTTCACTCCAAACCTTACTCCTTCTATAATTGCCACTGCCAATGTGGGCGTATAGATAAAGGGAGTCAACCTACACTCTTAAAAAAAAAAAAAACCCAACAAAAAAATTTGAAACCTGAAATACTGACCTTATCTAGAATGATGTCGGGTAAATTTGGTAAGCCTTGTGGTTTCGAGACAGAGTTGTTACTAAATTGTAATTGTAGCAAGAAATCTCTGTCGTAGATCATCTTACCCTCTTGATTCAGAGGACTCCACTGGTCTGTCAAAAGAAAAACAAAATGCAATGAAATGGGGTTTATCGTCCTACTGTTCTGCTCTGACGAGTCATGTACCATATCGTTTTGGGCGCAAAACCAATGAACAAAGAAAAAGATATCCTAAATTACAATATGGCAGTAAATAGTAATGGCCGATTCACAAATAAAATAAACAAATATGACGAATTGCCAAATTAGACGTAAACGATTGTCGTTCAGTTTGGACTGTTTGCATACATAGAGCCATATGCCCTTTAAGCTTGTTTCGGAAGAATGTCACCCGCGCTTGAATACCAGTTTCTGGACCCAAAATATATACATTTAAAAAACTGACCCGCTTTATAGTTGTACTGTAGCTGCATTTTGGGTTTTTTAGGTTCAGAATTCAAGGCTTCCGTCGTCATCTCGTTATTCTTGGCATTCTCCTTACACACGTCAACATCTTCAATCTTTATTTCAACTTGGGGAATTTTTTCATCCTTGTTATCTGGGGTAACAGGGACAGGTTTTGGAATGGGATCCGAGGTAACTGGTTCTCTTACTGGTTTTACAGGTTCCTGCAAAGACAGAAATATTTTAATTATAAAAAAACACTCTTCAGATTTAAATATATTTTTCACAAAATTTTGGATTCATGTTGAAAGAAATGAAATGGTGTTTAATGAGCTAATGAAGACAGGCATACGTCATTGCCCAGGTGACGAATCAGCCTAATCTAATATCAAATTCCAACTGCCAAGGGTTCTTTTACGTGCACGCCAATATGTACACGGGAACTTGGCTTTTCTTCTTATCTGAACGTTGTTCATTTCCAGGCCCTCTGTCCTGCAGCACTACTCGCAGAGGAACCATGCCGGAAGGAATGTTGAAAGAGGCAAGGCACAAACCCAACGACAAACTGCAAGAAACTTGTTTGTACCATTATGTTAATCCCTTTAAAGCCCTGATTCTAATTTGTCTTTTTCTGACAATCTTATTTTCCGCATAATAAATGATTATTTAACATTTAATAAAGAACACAAAATCAAAATATCAACTTCAATCTGATATACAGATCTATATTTCGTTTCGTTTTTTTTTTATACTTTCGATGGCCTACACTACATAAGATATGACAAGTTATAGCGATAGGTCACGTCAGGGGTCAAAAGACCGACTTATGACCCTTTTGACGTCAGACATTTGATTAATCAGCATTGTTGTTACTAGTGGATTACCCACAGTTCTATGAAAAACACGCCTAAAGCTCGCCGTAACAGACCGTTTTCATTGGCTTATCCCCGACACCATTCAGAACACGAGTTAAATAACAACTTTTCCCGATCCAAGTGTAGTAAAGACAAGTAAAACGAAATTTTGAACTATAAAAACGAAACGAAATAGGATCTGTGTTTTAATCAGATTTTATCAACTCTAGATAATCTCCAGGCATCCCGATTAAAAAGATACCCATGAAAATAATTGGGAGAGAGAGAGAGGTCAACTTCCACTCAACACATCCCAGGTCATTTCGGGACTAACACATGGTTCAATTTTTATTTCAATAATAGTTTGCGCATTGGTTGTCTTTGGCAGTGGGGGAAAACCAGACGACCCAAAGAAAACTCAGATTGATTTCATTGATGATTAAATTAAAAAATGGACAATTGGGACAATGTTTATCGTACCGACTTTTAGTAATGATGATCTAGGCTAGGATTAAAATTCAAAAGCTAATATCTGTGTTCAGAGTGGAGCAATTTGACTGAAATTTTCATCATATTCTATTTACATTACTTTTTTTTTTTTTTTTTTATAACTAATATAGCGAGCATAGTCTCTTTAAGTTATATCTGTTCCAACTCAAGAAGTAGATATGTTGACGTTCTGCCAATTGTATCAACTCACTGCCAAATTATCTACTTTACAACTCTCCTGTACTCGCTTCTACTTGATATATCGTAATAATATTAATCTTAAAATAATCCTGATCGATAAAAACAGATTAACTCACACTTATAGTTTGTTCAACCTTGTTGTCTATTTTAAATTAATGTAAATATAAGCCAATGAAATGAAATTGGGATGGGTTTAGCCTTCTATTCATCTGCAACAAATGGACACCATCATGGACCTTTTAATCGTTGTACGGAAACCCGGCTAGAAAAATCTAACTTTCTGTATCTCCTGTGAGCCATACTCATGAAGCCACCCGATCAAGGAGAGGTCAAGGTCAAGAGCACTTTACTTTCTCCGTCATGATTCTCAACAGAATTGAACAATTTGCCAACCCTGTTTTGAAACTAACCATGAAATACAGAAACAACTGTTAAAATAACACAACGATCTTTAACATGCTGGCAAAGGTATTTACACGGGACATTTGATTTTTGTCCCATCCAAAAGACTAGACATTTTTAATTATTTGTTTAATACCTATTAAATATACTAACTCAATTAACATGGAATCCATGATGAAACTTACACTACAACTCAGGAATCATTTAGTTGTGTTATTTTAGCAGTACTTTCTGTATTTCATGGTTAGTTTCAAACCAGGGTTGGCAAATTGTTCAATTCTGTTGAGAATCATATAAAACTATTGGATTTCTACAGTTGGGTAGTTTAAAATGGTCTGTTTGGATTAGATCCAATATCAGTGTATTTTAAAATCATTTCCACTCAACATATCATTTAGCAAGAAATAAACCACCAACAACAAAAACTACTCACTTGATGAAAACAGACATTTCATCTTTCAACCATTCCTTGGTCTAACTTCCAAATAATATATTCAAGGTGCCAAGTAAGTTAGAGTAATCTAGGTAGATAATAATAGTAGCACTGTCTAGATCACTGGCTAGATCACATGTTAACATTAAACATAACTACCATCACAAGAGAGAGATGGGGTTTAACTCCACTTGACACAAACTTGGTCATTTCGGGACTAACATATGATTTTTTTTGTTCAATAATTCGCTTGTGCGTAGGGGTCTTTAGCAGTGGGAGGAAACCAGAGGACCTGGAGAAAACCCATGAGGTTGAAAAGGCGACCAGTTGACTCAATGACAGATCTAATGATGCAAATGAAATGAAATGAAATGGAGTTTAACGTCCTTCTAATGATGCAGCACCTAAATGCTAACCATTCAGCACCTTCACAATAACATAATAATATTCAACAATTGACTAAAAAAGTGAAATGGGGTTTAACATCCAACTGTTCAGCTCCGAACTGGGCGAATGAAGACGGTCATAATTATACCATACAGAGTGCCATGAGGTAAATTTTGCCTGAACATCGGCGATGGACTACTCTTATATTTTAAAATTCCGACTCCCTTATTTTTAAATATTGTACAACATGGTCATTAAAAGTATGAATAATGTCAGTATATTTTTTGTTTATAATAATTAGAATGGTATAATAAAAGTAGGTATGAAGCAAGGCAGTCAGTATTTTATGTTTTGATATAATAAACACACATGGTTTGTAACTTGATCTGACCATTTTACATTCTGCATGATAGAAAGGAGAAGAACATAATGACCTAGTTCTAGGAACATTCCACAGATGTGATATATACATTAGTATAGGGTAGACTGTATACACCATACGGATTCAGACTACTAATTCTATTCCCATTGACTTCAATTTTAAATCATTGACATTTTTGGGAAGACTCAGGACAGTAGTTCCCTTCCCATTGACTTCAATGTTAAATTCATAACATTTTTTGGGAGGACTGACTTATTCTATTCCCATTGACTTCAATATAAAATCATTGACATTTTTGGGGGGTTGGGGGGGGGTGGGGCTGGGGGGAGGTCTCAGACAGTAGTTCCCTTCCCATTGACTTCAATGTTAAATTCATAACATTTTTTGGGAGGATTGACTTATTCTATTCCCATTGACTTCAATATAAAATCCATGACATTATTTGGGGGGGGGGGGGGGGGGGGGGGGGAGGTCTCAGACAGTAATTCCATTCCCATTGACCTCAACATTAAATCCATATTTCTTGACCTGTAAGATTTTCAACCTTTCGATGATTTTAATCTTTATAACCACAGAGTCCAATAAGGCATAATCATCTGATAAAAATATTGAAAGGGATTGACCATTGTGAATTGTTGCTGGGCCTGGTCAATAGAATGAGGCTGACCTTAAAAATATCTTTGTTTCGCCTAACGCGACCAACTAACCCGCACGAGTGTTAAAAACGTGTTGAGTGAGTTTCAAATGTGAGTTTGTCGCAATTTGTGTGCGAGTCATGCATCAAGAAAAATCCCGATGTCATTGATTTGTTTGCCAATAACAGAAGACGAATGTTTGCACCCGGAAAATTATCAAGCTGTCAAATTAGCTCTTAAAAAAAAAAAATCTGAAAAAAAAAACCCCGACCTACCGACCCTTCTCCTCAATTGTGGGTCGGGTTTGGTGAAACAAAGATATTTTTAAGGTCAGCCTGATTAATATTATCTTCATTATTATATACATGGACGTCATTTTAGTACGCGATCACCCCAATACATGTCTGTTTACTTTCTTACCCTTCCGCCATAAAATCATGAATATTCAACAAAACCCCTGGCACAAAATCATGAATATTCAACAGAACCTATACATGAAATGGGATTTAACATCCTACTGTTCACTTTCAACTGTGCTAATGAAGACGGGCATACGCCATATTGCTACGAGGGTAATTTTGCCTGGACAGTGGCACTACAGCCTACTCTTATACTGAATTCTAAATGTCATGGGATCACTGTGTGCACAGATCTGTTTTTTGGTACCATCCAAACAACTAAACACTGTCCCTTGCCAGCTATCTGACCAATACCATCAAAAGAATATTTCTTGAAGTGTGTCATAATATCAATTATTGTGATAATAGTTTAATATCTTCCGTTAATCTGTCACCCTGTGGCTAAATACACATAAAATCAATTGGTGTAATAATTGTTTAATATATCTTCCGTTAATCTGTCGACCCCCGTGGCTATATACACATAATACCCCTCCTAATCCTACATAATATACTGAGATCAGATCCTCAGGGAGGGCCGTCAGTTAAAACTTCTCCATTCAACCAAACAATATTCTCACATTTTCAAGTGATCATTCCCCACATTTTTTGATGAAGTTTTCCAAGGGGAAACATAGATGACTTGTTTATTATTTTTTTTTTGATGATAGTGTTGATGAATTTTGCCATGGGGAAAACCTAAATGATTTGTATATTTTTTGACAGTTTCGATGAAATTGGCCAAGAAAACCCAAATGATTTATATATTTTTTTGAAAGTTTCGATGAAATCGTCTAAAAGAAAACACAAATGATTTACATATTTTTTTAACAGTTTTGATGAAATCGTCTAAGGGAAAAGCCAAATGATTAGTATAGTCAAATCAGATGTTGATTTCACTATGTGAAAATCCATTTCATTCACCTCCGACCAACCTACATGTAATAAATTAATCCTTTATCTTTACACAATTCAAAGGAGTTGTAAATCTTTTCAAGTTGCCCAACATTCATCAACTTCACTTGACAATGTATTGAAAATCAAAAAATAAAAATTTATGACATGTGTCCAGATGTTGAAGTTTATCCCTAAGGCTTATAAAGTTTGTGTGAATGTAATCTGTTCTACTGATGTACAAATCTATTAATTAAATTAATATCTGTTATCATAGTTACCTAGCTTTCACTAGAAAGTAAATTGATAGCTACCTTTACAACATGTGATTTCAAAAATTTACCATTGATAATTGTCAATACAATTACATTAAACGAAATGGGGTTTAAAAATAAGAGATAGAGAAATAGGGGTTTAACATCTATATTAGGGTGTGCACAACTCAGAACACCAGAAATATCAAAAGGTTCGACAGGCAACCCTGCACCTTATCACATAAAACTTATCTAAACATGCATTCATTTGATACACCAACCGCCCCAATAAAATAAGAAAATTAATAATTAAACAGTGATTTATTTGAGAAATGAAATGCTGGGCATAAAACTGTATTGGAGCAACTAACAAAATGCATCAGGATTTTCAGGTGTAGTTCCCTTATGTCCCTGAAGGCCTGGCAAGGGACAATGTACAGTCAGTCAAATGGTAGGACAAACGGCGGTCCCGTGTACACATGGGCGTGCACATACATGTAGTAGAACCTATGGTAGTCGGAATTCAATATAAGAGCAGGCCATAGCACACTGTATGGTGTAGAACAGTAGGTCGTTAAACCCTAGTTCGTTTCTTCCTTAAAGGGACGATATTTAAATTCGGTCACCCTTTTACTTCATTCATGTATCGGGGTATAAAATTTACAATTGATTTTTATTTTCTTACCGTATCTACATTTTCATTAAATAAAAATTCAATTTGTACGTAACAGCTGTGAAACGTCTATTGAATTCAAAATAATAGACTGGAAAATCGTGAGTAAAATTATGAATAGATTTTTAAAATCAATTACTACATGTGGTGATTATCGTATTTTATTTACGTAGGAACCAGTAATTCAACAAGTTAATGTCTGGTACATGCATGAAGGAACCGGTAATACAACAAGTTGATGTCTGGTACATGTAGGAGGGTCTGGTAATTCAACAAGAACATGGAATGAAATGGGGTCCAAATCCTTAATAAAGATCGAGAAAAATGGGGTTTAACGTCCACACAAAACAAACTAGATCATTTTGGGACGAACATATGGTTCAATTTTACATGTATTTCAATAATTTACTTGCACATAGGGGTTTTGAGCAGTGGAAGAGAACAATAGAACCTGGAGATAACACACGAGGCTGGACAGATGACATGATACGTAATCCAACCTGTCCTTTATTCGGGGAATATTAACCAATATTTGGGTTGATTTCTCCCAGAAACAATAAAAACCTGGTAGAAACGGGCAATAACTGGGTAAATATTAGACAAAACTCTGGATACTTTTAACAAGTACAGTATCTCTTTTAAATCCACTTTATAGTTTTCGATATATGCTTATCATCCTCAACTCCCAGTTGACAATTTCTGATTGTTAGTCTGTGTTATAACCCACAAATAAAGTAAATAGGGCTTAACGTGCTTGAACCGGCTGGGCTAATTACGACGTGTGTACCCCACAAGAACTCCGGGAAATGTTGGTAAGTAGGGATAGTACAAAATCAACAGAAAATCACAATATTTTAAATTGACAGTTCCCATTTTTTTTTTTTTTAAATAAGGCAAAATTGTAAATGAAAAAATATCAGATATCAGACCTGAATCATACAACATGCTTTCTATTCAACAGAAATAGATCATGCCTCAGGCAGTCGACGAAAATAATCAGACAAGTCACGAAATTTGTCTCTCGATTCATCAATGAATTTTTAAATCAAAATATATTACAGTGTAATTGAGGAATTTCATTTTAATATATTCCAAAACAGTCGGTTTTTCAAGTGTTTTGGTCACCTTAGATTTAGAAATTTTTTATGGAGGGGTGAGGCTACCAGAAAATTGCTTTCTGAAATTCTAAAGCTAGTGAATTGAAGATGGCACAAGTAGTTAGGAAATGTAATAAACAAGGGAAAACATTAAAAATAGAGAAAAAAGAGTTATTCCTAGGGCAACACATTTGTTTTTGGAAAAAGTATGAAAAATGTAGGTGCATCATGTCTCTGGTACTAATAAAGATAAATGTCTCCTTTTTCGGACTGCCTATTCTTTAATAACCCCAAAACCAGACAGAGGTTTTACTCTATAATTTTTATAGTTTCTTGGGAAATGGTGTATAAAACATTTGCCTTACCACAATAGTTTGTCTTTGGAGAAATATTTTGATAACTTTTGAAATATTAATAATTCAAATCGCTTTCTGTCTGATTCTGTGGTAGACAGAAGTTTATATATCATGCAAATTTGACGAAGATATCTTAATTAGTTACAGAGATATAGTGTACCTACGTTTATCATAATTTTTTCCCCAAAAAATGAGTTACCCTGGCAACAACTTTTTTCCCCTTGTTTATTACATTTCCTAACTACTTGTACTATTTTCAATTCAATAGCTTTAACATTTCAGAATAAATTTTTTCGGATAGCCCCCCCCCCCCCCAACCTTAAAGTATAATAATTCTTAACTTTATCCAAATTTTAATTTGTTTTTAATTGTTATACACATAAATGAAAAGGGGTTTAACGTTCTACTCCGACTGGGCTTAATGTCTATGACACAAACCAAGTCATTTCAAGACTAACACATGGTTTAATTTTATTTCAACAATTCCCTTGTGTGCTGGGGTCTTTAGCAGTGGGAGGAAACCAGAGGACCCAGAGAAAACCCACGAGGTTGGAAAGGCGACTCTACTCTTTGTCACGTACAACTAGGGAATCGAGAGAGAGCGAGATGGGGTTTAACGTCCACTCGACACAAACTAGGTCATTTCGGGACTAACATATGGTTTAATTTTATTTCAATAATTCGCCTGCGCGTAGGGGTCTTTAGCAGTGGGAGGAAATCGGAGGACCCGGAGAAAAGCCACGAGGTTGGACAGGCGACCCTACTCCTTGTCACGTACAACTGGGGATTCAAAACCACGCCAGTCGACTCAATGACAGACTTTATGATACAGCGCGCGCACGCTAACCATTCAGCCATCCAACCCCCCCAACTAGGGAATCGAAACCACGCCATTTGACTCAATGAAAGACATTATGATACAGCGCACTCGTGCTAACCATTTGTCTATATCCCGCCCCCCCTTGTAACTTAAAGGATAAGTTCTTTACCCTCTGTCAAGAGTGGAGAATATGACAGTTATTGTTCGTGGTTTTTAATACGCTTCCACTGATAGTGATATCACAGACCACATGACAAAGGGGACCGAATAGCTCGGTTCGAAGTGCGACACTTTAGGCCACCAGTCCATCCCGATCTGGTTATAACACAGATCCGTTTTCGTTTCGTTTTTTATAGTTCAAAATTTCGTATGGATTCAACATAACTTAATCTAAACTAGGATCTGGAAGACTTGTTATATAACACACGTTCTGATTTAAGTGAGGGATTAGCCAATGAATTTGGTCTGTTATGGCGAGTTCTTGGTGTGCAATGCACAGAACTGTGGGTCAACGATTAGAAACGTCAATGCTGAGATCTGTATTTTAATCAGATTTTTCCAACCCCATTGAATATGACTATTAGAGATTTGGTTAAATCCCCTTTTATTCAAAAATAAAAATGGGTGAAGAGAAACTTTTATTTTATTAAGGCATTCATTTGAAGACTACGATTTAAGGGTCACAGAATCACGAAGATTTTTGTCGAGATATCACAAACCCTTTACACCAAAGATTTATCACTGAACAAATCAGACATTAAAAAATGTGGGCATTAAGAACAACATTTTATAAAGACATTTTAAGAAATACAATCTACATGGAGTCACTGACAACTTGAAGACCACTTGAAACATTATCAGAGCATGAAGGGAGAAAGTGAGATGGTTTAACATCCACTCGAAACGAAGTCATTTCAGGACATGCAGTTCTAATGCGCAGAGGTTAAATAATCAACAATTCAAGATGCAATCCCCAAGTCTATTAAAGAATTTGAATTTAAAACGTTTAATTCTATAAATAAATCTAATTACGTAACCGCAGTAACTCGTACAAGTTACAGACGTCATAAGACAAGGTGAGGTATATCTATAATAATTGGAGGTCACCTATATCTTGATACAAACAACGTAGATTAAAACTATCATAATTCACATTAAAACAATGGATTCAACATAACTTAATCTAAAATAGTTTATATCAAAGATAAAGGTTATTGACCTATATATATCCAATATATATTATATGACCTATCCTAGAATAAACTATGAAATATACAAGCTGGACAAACTTTCATAATTCATAGATTACATTATTTAACAAAGGATTCAACATAATTTAATCTAAAATAATTTCTAGGATAGATAAAGATTGTTGACCTGTATGACCTCTCTCAGAATAAACCATGAAATGTAAAAGCTGGAAAGCTTTCATAATTACCGGTAATATATTATTTATAGTTAACAATGGATTCAAAATCTAAAATAGTTTATATGATAGGATAAAAGTTGTTGACCTATTCGTATTATATAATGACCCACTGAAGAACAAATAACTAAACACGCTTTCCCTCACTTGACCTAACTGAATCTAAAATAGTTTATATTATATATATATATTAAAATGAACCACCCCAGAACAATTCACTAAATATACAAGCTACAAAACTTTCCCTCAACAGATTCAACAGTAACTTAATCTAAATACATAAAGATTTTTAGCCTATATACACTTGAATATATTTTACAATGTTCCACCCTAATACAAAGCTGGAAAACTTTCACTCACCTCGACATCTTTTGGTTTTATTTCTATAGGTTTCTGAACTTCTTCCAATGATTCAGGATCTTGTTTCGTCGTGGTCGTCGTAGTCGTCGTAGTCGTGGAATCTGAACGCTCTTGGCTGACTTCTTTTGATACTGAGCCTGAAGGGGAGAGATTATGAACCATTTTCAGACAATTCCCTTATAATTGTAGCATGTGTTATATAAATCCGTTTTTAACCGAATCACACAGTCACAAGTTTACATAAGTTGGTAAAACTTATCCTATATACAGATATTATTCCTTTTTCAACACTTATTGATAAAATAAATCATCAAAGCACACAACCTCTACTCACTAATGTAGTCCAATAACTTGTATAAAAGCTTATAGGATTATATTCAGAGAGAACATATCTGAGCTGGGCTGCTCCAGTCAGGAGACTACAACATGCTTCAACAAGGCCTTGGTATGTCCTCATTTACACAACCAGTGAGTGGTGGCTAGAGATATTATTGGGTGGAACTCAGGAGGTCAAGGTCATTAGTATGGTGAGTTCACTGCTGCTCTATGTGAAGAGAACACACCACGACCATTTCTGGCAGTTAATTGCCACAGGCATTATAAGTGACTGATGGACAATAATAAAAGGGACTTCCCTCATTGATGTTGGACAATACCAATTAATTAATTCGGTAATAAAATTTATAACTATCAAATAATAAATCTTATAGATGTTTTTATCCCTGACCATGACACTTCATGAACTGTTTGTTTTACCATCATAGCTCCAGGCACGGCAATAGGAATTTAATATTTCATACGATTTACGGTGGGGGTATCATAAATCTGTTGCCAAATATGTAGCTGACATATGATTATGCAAGAATTTAATTTTCTTCAAAATATTGAAATTGGAGAGTTTAATTTTAATATACTACTTTCCTGCCCCAACTAGCGATGAAGACCTTTGTTTGAAATTCGTATATTTCACCAAAAGTCACCTAATTTGTACTTGTGTCCAGCTTAAAGCTGACCATTCAATTTTCATAATGAATGTCTAATTTACAAGTATTTAATTCCTCGATCACTGTTCAAAAATTAATCATTATACTTCAATAATCAATTGGGTTGTATATTATTTAACAGTGGTCAGGCAATTTAAATGATTGTAAATTGAACGTTCATTATCAAATTTGAATGGTCAGCTTTAGACTGGACAGAAGTACAAATTAAACGATTTATGGTGATTTTAAACAGTTTTTACAAATTTTTAAACAAAGATTGGATATTAAACGAATGTGAAAGAAATTAGTGCTAGATACACAAGATTAAACGATACTTGGGTTACAGTGTTTAAACTGGACAGATGTATAAATAAGACGATTTTGGGCGATTTAAATGGATTTTGCGAGAAATAAAAATAATATCTAATCATGTGAATGAATCCTTGCGGGGCCAGCTGTGATTGTAACCACTGACAATGGAGAGTATGTTTGAGTAATCTTGGCTAACCCTAGAAGTTTCTAGAACCAATGAGTAATAAAAGATTCCAACAGATATACTCCATCTATAAATAACTACACTAAGTGTGCATTATAAACGTATTGGTGGTTTGTTTCTCTCTTAGTCAACATGTAGGTAAAAGTACATATATAGAGTTTATTATAATCCCTCCTCAAAATTATAAAGTTTCAATGATTTCATTCAATTGAAATCAAAGAGAGATGGGGCTAATGTCCACTCGACACAAACCAGGTCATTTCAGGACTTACATATGGTTCAATTTTATTTCAATAATTTGTTTGCGCGTAGCGGTCTTTAGTCGTTGTAGGAAGCCTGATGACCCGGAGAAAACCATGAGGTTGGAGAAATATGCAGGTGGCTATGTGAAATAGATCTAAGTGTTTTCAAAGGAATGAATGATACATCAAGGTCTATTCAGCAAATGTGATTAATTTGAATATTTTAAATCCCAGATTACATGAATATTTATAGTGATTAGTGAATAATCGTTAGTTGATAACTTTATTCAATTGGCATGGGGTATTTAAATCTAACAGAACTTCAAATAGAAAGCCAAACGGCTAACCTGCACACTGAAACATCTGAAAACACAACCAGATTTATTTTTGGCCTTAAGTGAATCATCATTTGTTTACTCACTAATCCTGAAGCAGACGGGGTGTAGGATTGTATGTACATGTATACATCTTTCATTTCACTCAAATTTTTTGTATCTATTCTATTGCTCATGTTTATGATGTCTGTTGGAAATTTCCTTATGAAGATGAAAGAAAACCAGAATGACGTCACACACTACAAAAGCTTAATGATCTTTAAACTACAGGTACACAGAGAACAAGAAAATAATGTTTCCATTTTATAAATGCTAAATAAACACTCAATTATAACTAATAAACACTCAATTATAACTAATAAACACTCAATTATAACTTATAAATGAGAGAGAGAGAGAGAGAAATGGGGTTTAAGGTCCACTCGACACAAACTAGGTCATTTCGGGACTAACATATGGTTTAATTTTATTTCAATAATTTGCTTCCGCATAGGGGTCTTTAGCAGTGGGAGGAAACCGGAGGACCCGCAGAAAACCCACGAGGTTGGACAGGCGACCCTACTCCTTAGTCATGTACAACCGGGGATTCGAAACCACGCCAGTCGACTCAATGACAGACTTTATCATACAGCGCGCGCACGCTAACCATTCAGCTATCCCCCCCCCAGCCCTCATAAATGAACACTACTATAAATGTTATAACTTCGTAAAACATACATTATGCAAGAGCAAAATCTGCCTATTGCAGGTCTTTCTTTAGGCCTGAAATGTTATATGAATTATTAATTAAGACATTAATTAACCTATCCAGGCCATAATCAACTCTAGATGGCATCGCTAGCCTATGATCTTTTGTGGATTATGAGCCGATTTACTGCATAACTTTCCTTCACGATTAAATGGCTAATTGAGACTATGCTGTTTATCGTACTGACTTCAGAAATGACGATCGAGGCTAGGCGGAAATTTCTATCGCTTAGTTCTTGGTTCATAGAGGATCAATTTGAATATTTTCAGCAAATTGCCTTTACATTATCTAGTTTTTAAATATTATAGTGAGAACTGCCAACTCGTTATCGAATCTCCCATAATAGATACATTATGTAAGAGCTAAATCTCCCTAAAGGGTTTTATTTTGGCTTCAAGTTCAATATTATTTATTTAGACATTTATTCACATTGTGCAAATTTTAAATGGGTCAATATACGGTCGCTATCTAATGATTTAATTTAATAATGGGGAAGTGAGACTAAGTTTCAAATAACAAATACTGTTGCTACGATAACAAAAAATCGATGCCACATCTTGTCAAACTTTCAAACGGTGATAACATTGCTCAGAAGAAAATAATTTGAATGAAATTTAATATATTCATTTTTCACAATATCTATTGTAACTTATTATTATTATACATGTGTAGGGTGACCCACCATAAATAAATATCTCCATATATCTCGACAATTTCGCCACAATATTTATATATATGCCAAGCCTCAAATCCGTTTCACACAATTATAGTCACTAAAAAAACGATCATGTTGTACTTAAGCTATGACCATTAATCATCTATAAATAATAGACTGAAAACTGGTTCCATGTGTCGTCCATAACATCCAGACACTTTTGAGTAAAAGATAGGTTACGTGCCCTTGTTTTGAAATTAGTCTCGCTTAACCAGTATATCGACCATTCTAGGGCTGATTGACAGGTCGGGATAATCAAGACTACTTTTTTACGAAACATAACAGAAAGCTAGAACAAGAAATTGAATTTAGAAATGAGCACGTTAGCTAGCTCAACAATCGTTTTAAGAAGCTTGTAAAAGTAAAATGAAACTACTGCTAGTATCATGTTCCTGTCTAACCCGAGTGTTTCTGAGATATTATTTGTACTAAACCAAAAGATGCCGCTCTTAACGGTACAGTTAATGATAAAGCGATTTAAAAAATGAAACGAACGTAATTTCTAAATCTGCTGTAATAATCAAGAAGCTTAATTTTACTGCTATTCAAAATCGTCAACAATAATTTTTTTACGACTGTAATAGTTGATAGATTTGTAGAGAATTGCACGTGCCATGGCTATTTATAGTATCATACTGTCAGAAAGTTGGCCTCGACACGGCGAATGTGCACGCTTCAGTGGTAGTCTCGAACTATCAGTGGTTGACTGTATTTCTGTAGGTGCGTGGGTCACCCTAACATGTAGCAAGGCTGGCCAGCTCTTTATCTAAATCTAACCATCTTGAAAATGGCACATTGGGTCTTTAATGTATCAATAATATGAATGAATTCTTTTCTTTATATCAAATTACTAATTTAAAATCAATACCAGAAGGGGAAAAATTCTAATTTTGATTTAGTTGTTAAAATGAGTTAGAGGCCTATTAAACAGTTATAATGATCACCATATGGTAATATTTAGGTCATTGACCACCATATGGTTTTATACTTCAAGTTAATATACAACAGGACCTCATGGTGATGGTTGATAGACCACATGTACAACATTTATATACTAAAAGCATTGTCTAGGTCATAAACAACACACTGACCATAAAACCATGACCATAAAAGGTACTTTTACAATAAAACAAGGGATTTATTTTTCATTAATATTGTGTTACCATTTTTTCTAACCTGGAGAGAGACAGCGGGAAATGGGGATCAACTCCACTCCACATAAACTAGGTCATTTTGGGACTAATACATGGTTCAATTTTAATTGGTTGCGCGTAGGTTTCTTTAGTCGTAGGAGGAAACTGGAGAACCCAGAGAAAACCCATGAGGTTGAACAGACGGGGAATCAAAACTACACCGCTTGACTCAATGACAGAGAGAAATGGAGTTTAACCTCCACTCGACACAAACTAGGTCATTTCGGGACTAACACACGGCTCAATTTTATTCCAATAATTTGCTTGCGCGTAGCGGTATTTAGCCGTGGGAGGAAACCGGAAGACCCAGAGAAAACCCACGAGGTTGGACAGGGGACCCTACTCCTCGTCGCGTACAACCTGGGAATCGAAACCCCGCCAGTTGACTTAACGTATGATACAGCGTGAATGGGCTAACCATTCGGCCATCTACCCCCCCCCCCCTTTGACTCAATCATGGACTTCATATTCTAAATATAAATAGATTAAAACACTCTTGGAAGGATTTTTTTCTGGATTCAAAAAGTTATATAAATTATAAATTGGACACTTATTCACATAACAAGCCCATAATAAACTCATTATCTAGACCATTGGATGGACGAGGTATAAAATGGATTAGAATACCAGCTGCGTTTAATAATTTATCGCTAAAATGGATATTTTCCATAAGTTTGTGTTTTTGTGTATTGATATTATTATTGTAACCATGGTACCCGAGAATCAAGACTTATTCAAACTTCAAACATATAAATTCATTCAGAATAAAAGTAATTTGATTGAAAATTTCAATATATTCATTTTCCATCATATATTTTTTAGAACTATTATAGCAAAAACGATCAGTTCTTTATCTAAATCTTATATAATGTATCTTTAAATATGCATTATGCAAGAGCTAAATCTGCCTATCGCAGGTCTTTCTTTAGGCCTGAAATCTTATCTAAATTATTAATTAGACATTAATTAACTTATTCAGACCATAATCAACTCTCGATGTCAAGGCTAGCCTTCGATATCGACTGGATTATAATCCTATATGATGCAAACGCTTATTGATAATTAAATCAAAACAATGGATAATCGAGACTATGCTTTTTAACATACTAACTTTAGTAATGATGAACGAGGCTGGGCGGAAATTTACAAAGCTGATATCTCGGTCCATAGTGGACCAATTTGGCTGAAATTTTCAACAAATTACCTATACATTATCTAGTTTTTAACTATTATAGCGAGAATGGTCAGTTCTTTATCTAAATCTTATATAATGTATGTTTAAGCAATTCTTAATTAATGATGTAATAAACAGACAATGATATTTTAATGACATTGAAATATAAACCAGGCTGTATACACTACTATCAACCCATGACTTAATACCTACATGTGATTCCAAGATGAAATGGGGTTTAATGTCATACAGTGTGCTACAAGGGAAACACGAACAAGGTTAATTAATATCTTGATTGGAACATGACTTTAACATCCATCAACACATGTGATTCTACTAGACATTCTCCATTTAACACACTATAAACTGGTTTTTATTATGTCACACAGAGATCAGAGTTCACAAGGCATTCTCAGACTTCAGTGAAGCCTTTACTCATGATTGTTCACCTTATTTTAACTAAAATATAACCCTTTATAAAACTTTTGTTGTTTTAATATATCAAATACATCAATAAGAAACTATGTGTAAAGTTTTCTGTTTCTGGATCAAAGATATTTCTCATAAACAGTGATTGAAAGTTGAGTAAATTCTTAACTTAAGTACATGTACGAGAATACTTTGTGAACTCTGGGCCGCCTTCATTTCATCAAATCTAATCAAACGGGGTTAAATGTCGTTGGTTCAGTACCCTACATAATTCAATAGCAGACCTTGAGATCAAAACCACATGTTATACAATTCACAGAACCAAGTGGTTTACTACAGACTGCCAACCATCATGCAATCTGCTACGAGTGATGAAGGTTTTCTCGTAGCGACACTACACCCTTCACGTTCAGACTACATGTAGTTAAACATACATTATGCAAGAGCTAAATCTGCCTATTGCAGGTGTTTCTTTAGGCCTGAAATGTTTTCTAAATTATTAATTAGACATTAATTAACTTATCCAGGCCATAATCAACTCTCGATGGCATCAGATTTTTCCGATATTAAATAAATTAGGACAATTCAGCCAAATTTTGATGTAAGCTAAAAATGGAGGAGCGAGACTTAGCTTTGAACAACCAGTACAGTGATTGAAATTATTGTACACATTTACATTATCTATTTTCGAACTATTATAGCAAGAATGGCCAGCTCTTTATCTAAATCGTACATAATGTATCTTTAAAGCGAGAATTTCATATATTCTAAGAAAGTCAAAACATAATTATTTCTATGTCTTTTGCTCAATAGGTTGTCAACTCACTATTTTACGATCATAGTTATCATTCTCACACTCAAAACTGTTTCACACCGGAAATGATAACACAATTAGCTCCTAATTACCTCCCTTGTTTTTCTATTCCCTACCATGGAATAGCTATCTTCAAACGTTTGAATTTGAAGTTGAAAATGATATTTTTGCCAATTTCTCAACTGGCAATATTAGTGAATTATAGGATTAATAAGATTATTCTTTAACAAGGTAGGACTGTTTATAGATAGCATCGATTTTAAGGCTTTATTTTAATAAATTTTAACAATATAACTTAAAAATATGAAACTGTATCTTTAACTCCAATCATCATTAAAATTACAAGTTTACAAATTAAAAATAAACAAAAGTCATCAATTTTATATATTTTTGTGTGTGCTGGGGGAGGAGTTGACGGTGAAGTTGATACGTGTACTTCTTTTTTTCTGCGTAAGTCATAACATTATTTTATATTCTGATTTGACTTCTAAATGAATGACATACAAGTCAAGAAATGTTCTGTGTATTAATAATTCATGCATTTCTTTTTAACCATCAAATATTGCCAGAACTCCAACTGCCAAGGGATCCTTTAAACATGAACAAAGACAACTCATTTTTTTTCATTCATTTTTATTCAAAACTGTCGAGAGATCAGGATTTTGGTGCCCACAAATATTGTTAGTCTATTTCTAGTGATTTTCTTTCTCCATGGTCTAGAATCATCATCAGTGTATGGTTTAAGTTGATGAATGTTCATCAGGTAGAAATGAAATGTGTTTTAACATCCTGTTCTACTTTGACTGGGGATACGCCATACGTGTTCAGTGTGCTATGAGGGAAATTTTGCCCAGGCAGCGGCAACTGCCAAGGGATCTTTTATGTGCACGCCAATGTATACACGGCACCACGGTTTTCTATCCCATCCGAACGACTAGACAGCTGTCATTGTCAGGCCCTCCGTCCTGCACCACTAAGGTAATCATCAGATAAAATGGGTCAGATAAAATTCCAGATGATCAGCCCATTCAATATTTTTATCTGATGTTTGTGACTTGTAGGACTCTTTGTGGCAATAAAGTGTAAGCTCATTGGAATGTTACAGGCCTTGAATGTATGTGGATGAGATTGAGAACAGTCTGAATCCTGATATGGCTGGAGGAGTTATTTCCCTTGTCTGAACATTGATTATTTCCTGCAAGGGCAGGTAACTATAGCAAACAACTGTTTGGTGAGGGAACTGAACTGGATTGTTTTATTTACATATATATGTACCTGGAGTGGACATTAACTTCTAAATACCTGGTGCGGAGGGGGAATTGTAAATACCTGGTGTGGAGGGTAACATGTAACATGTAAATACATTGTGTGTGTGCATGCATGTGTGTTGAGAGAGTGGAATTGTGTAACTGCATGTTAATGAATTTAGAGTTAAATTGCTAAGTACATGTAAGAGTTTCTTTTATAGATAACATTCCACTTATAATTTCTCAAAAATAAAAACAACCCAATTGATTATTGATATATAATGATTAATTTATCAACTGTGGTCAGGAAATTAAATACTTGTAAATTGGACACTCATTATCAAAATTAATCAGTCAGCTTTAAACAGGACACAAGTACAAATTAGATGATTTTTGTTGATTTTTAAATCATTTTTACTAGATTTAATATTGAACAAATGTGAAAGAAATTAATGCTAAATACACAAGATTAATTGATATTGGGGGGTTAAAGTGACTACTTTAAATTCAACTGCCGAGGGATTTTTAACAAATTTTTCAACCAATCAGTGGTCTCAACATCAAGAATCTTCATAGAATTCTGACACGGGACAACTTGTCATCATTTTGGTTGATTTGACATTTCTAAAAGACCCTGTGATTGGTTAGATTAGTAAGGTGTCAGAACATGTGACCTTACTCCTTGTTGCGTACATGCAGGGATCCGAAACCACGCCACATGATTCAATGACAGACCATATTTTATGGGCACATGTTAAACCAACTAGATCACCCAAGCCTCCTTTGTATAGAAACGAAATGGTGTTTAACGTCCTACTGTACTGCTTCGAACTGGGCTAATGTCGACAGGTATAAACCATACAGTGTCCTATGAGGGAAATTTTGCCCAGACAGCGACACTACGGCCTACTCGTATATCGAATTCCAGCTGTCAAGGGATCTTTTATGTGCACTCCAATGTATACACGGTACCTCAGTTTTTCGCCCCATCCTAAAGACTAGACAGCTGTCCTTGTTAGACCCTCGGTCCTGCTTCACTGACAAGGGAGAACCACGCCGGAAAATCTGGATGAACTTTCTCGGCCAATGCAGCGATCAAACACCCGACCTCCAGACTAGTGAGTCAGGGTCTCACCCACTTAGCCATCGTGATACACCCCCCCCCCCCCTTTTGTATAGGACTGAACCTATCTACATATACGTCTGCTTTTAGAGATTCAACTTTCATCATATCAAGTGATTCGAAATTGATAAAATGAAGTTTAGAAATTTTAAGAATTTTCTTTTTAAATCATCACGATACACTGAGTACTGGGCCCTTATTCACGAAAACTTAAACTAAGATATAATCGAAATTTTAAGAAATACTGCAATTCGATTGGCTGACCAGTAAAATCAATTTGCATATATCCAATGAAGTTGCAGTATTTCTTAAAATTTCGATTGTAACTTAGTTTAAGTTTTCGTGAATAAGGGCCCAGGATTACAAACCCATGCAAAAATAAATTTCATCCTTTTGGAAAACTTACCATTTTTAATTTTATCTGTTTTCTCTTCAGTTTTTTCTGTTTTTGGTTTGAGATCCACAGGTTTTGATTTTTCAACTTCTTTCTCCGCTACATTAGAGACAACTGGTGCTGGTGCTGGCACACTTTTCACAGGTAAAGGTGCCTTCACAGGTAAAGGTGCCTTCACAGGAGCAGGCGTCTTCACAGGAGCAGGCGTCTTCACAGGAGCAGGCATCTTCACAGATGCTGGCACTTTCACTGGTTCTTCTGTAGCAGAAACATTTGTAGGCGTAGATTTTAAATCTTTGTTTTCTGTGGAAACTGGTGACGCAGTGACAACAGGAGATGGCTGAACTGGAGCAGATGCTGTAACTGTGACAGGTTTCTGACTTTTTACTTCTGGTACGGATGTCGGTTGTGTAACGGTATCCTTAGTTGGACTGACGCTCACGCTAACCGATTGTTTTTGAGACAATCCGACAGAAACGGATGCCTTTTGCGTGTTTTGGTTAACTTTATTAGCCGTAATTGATGCTGGCTTAAATTCATTGACATCTGGAGTGAGTACGGCACTAACACTCACTGTTTTAGGGGAACCAATTACCTTGGGTGCTGGATCAGCATCACCAGACAGCAGTTCTTTTTTCACGTATAATTCGGCAGCAGACACACTCACTGTTTTAGGGACAGGGACTATTTTTGGTGCTGGAGGAGCAATGTTCACGTTGTATTCATTCGCGTCAAACTGAACCGCAGGTTCTTTCATGTCTGATTGTATCAGGACTTTTTCTGTGCAGATCGACGGGGGATCGACAGACGTCTCTCCAGGAATAATAGCTCCAGCATCCTCCACGCAAGGTTCAAATGTCTCTTGCTGTTCATCTGCTGGTATGATGGTCCCTGTTGGTGGAGAGGAAGCGTCCATTACACTAGGTGGAGTTGAGCTTTGTTGTTTGGTCGAGTTGTGTCGTAATGTCGCGGCTACTTGCGAGGCAAACTGTGCACAAATTTCCTTCTGTTGAGGTGGTGAAGGCGATGCCTGAGTCTGAGCCTGGGCCGGAGCCTGAAATGATCAAAATATTTTCTAGTTTATAAAAAAAAACTAATGAAAATTAACTTTTAAATGTCTGGTCAACACAGTAAAATGAAATGTGGTTAAATGTCCTACTGTTGTACTCTGACTGGGCTAATGAAGACGGGAATACACCATACAGTGTGCTATGAGGGAAATTTTGCCTGGGCAGCTGCACTATGGCCTACTCTTATATCGAATTCTAACTGCCAAGGGATCTTTTACGTGCACGCCAATCTATACACAGGACCATGGCTTTTTGTACCATCTAAACGACTAGACAGCTGTCCATGTCCGGAATTCGGTCCTGCACCACTGACAAGGGGGGAAACCACATTGGAAATTCCCCATTAACTTTCGGTCAACAGGGTACGTTGGATATTTTGAGACTAGTAAAGTTATTTTTTTGAGTGATGAGAATTTTAGCATGTGGTCTGATTTTTATTGAAGAGATAACGATGCACATTCCAATCAGAATTATCACAGGTTGCAATGCACAGTTCAATCAGTTCAATGAAGTTATAAATAGCAAATCAGTACGAGGAATTCTGTCTGTCATCATTAGAAATAAGACAGGGATAACTATAGTTCATCATCTTGCTACCAATTTAACAACATTTGTACAGATCATTTCCAAAAACAAAAGAAAGGAAACTAGAGTTAAGCGTCCTAATTTTATCTAACAAGGCCAATGATGATGGGTATATGCCATGCAGTGTGCAATGTCTGGATATATCTCGAATTCCAACCGTCAAGGATTCTCTAATGTACTCAAGACCTATTTTTTATTTTTGTGTCACCTGAAGGGCTTGATGCTGTGTCTCATCCAACAGAACTTCCTAATCTTGTGTATTTAGTAGTATTTTCTTTCACTAGTATTCAATATCAATTCTTTTTTTAAAAATTCTTAAAAATAATTTAAAATCAGCAAATATCATCTAATTTGTACTTGTGTCCAGTTAAAAGCTGACCATTCAATTTTGGTAACGAGTGTCCACATTACAAGCGTTTAATTTCTCGATCGAGGTTTAAAAATAAACCCAATTGATTTTTGAACAGTGGTCAGGAAATTAAATACTTGTACATTGGACACTATCAAAATTAATCAGTAAATGGACAAGTACAAATTAGCTGATTTTGGGTGATTTTTAAACAAAGATCTGTAATCGAATGCGAAAGAAATTTAGTTCTAGATACACAAGATTAAACATACATTATGCAAGAGCAAAATCTGATTATTGCAAGTCTTAATTTAGGCTTCAGATGTTATAGAAATTATAAATTAGATCTTTATTTAAAGAACATGCCCAAAATCAACTCTGTAGACCCACGGATGGCTCGGCTACAGCTCGGATTTAAATAGGATTTCACTCATTGATAAATTCAAATATGGCGCACTCTGATGAGAATACGTCAGTTAGATCGAGGCTAAATGATAGAGTGTACTTAGCGAGGCATCTGTATTGCGTTTCCGCATGCCATTGAAAACTTTACTTGATAATCGAGATATGTAGGTGGAGTTAACGCCTGTCAATCAAACGATCGGCCAAGGTGAAGGCACATTTCACTACCATTTCTAGTCAAATATTAAAACGATAACTATGTTCAGAATAAAGTAATTTGACAAATTTTCAATATATTCTTCTTTCATCATCTACTTTTGAACTGTTATAGCAAGAATGGCCAACTCTCTATAAAAATCTCCCATAATATATCTTTAAATGATACCTGTGTTTCAGTGATTACTTCCTTTAGCCATTATGACTCCCCAAAAACAGATAAACCCCATCAAAACCTTACTAAATACCTATTTATAATCAATGATTGTACTAAGAGAAATGAAATGAAATGGGGTTTAACGTCCTACTGTTCTGCTCCGAACTGGGCTAACGAAGACGGGCATATGCCATACAGTGTGCTATGAGGGAAATTTTGGCCGGGCAGTGGCACTATCGCCTACTCTTATATTGAATTCCAACTGCCAAGGGATGTTTTACGTGCATTCCAATGTATACACGGGACCTCGGTTTTTCGTATCATACGAAGGACAAGACAGCTGTCCTTGTCAGGCCCTCCGTTCTGTACCACGTCAGAAAATCCCGATGAGATTTTACTAAGGATGTAACGTTAAAATAAATAGTCTTTAAAAACCAAACCGCAACCTATTTATTCACATTTAATTCATCTATCAAAAATATACTTTTTCAAAATATATAACATATCTTGCCCGTCAATCCCTATGGTTACGTTGTCTGAGACATACGTCACCTTGCTAGGAATTCTGTCATGTTTCAGTATCTATGAATATAATACATACCATTACTGGAAATGAAACGGGAGTTCCTGAGCCGCTTGGTGGCGTAGATTTATGATGTAATATTTCATCAGTCACATCTTTCTGCGTATTAGGGTCGACTATAGTGATAGGATTTCTCTCACGTTTGGCTGGAACAGTTTGATTAGGTATTGAGGAACGTGGTTGTGCCACGGGGATCGGCTGGCTCTGTTGCTGTTGTTGTTGTTGAAAATATAAATACTGTTGCGTATTATTTGGGGCGTATTGTTGATTTGGTTGAAACTGTTGAAATTGCTGTTGCACAGTGTGAGGTGAAATAGCGTATTGAGGATTTGTCATACGCTGACCTTGAGGAGTATACTGAAAAAAATAAAATAAATAGTTTTATCAGATATCTTAAAACTTGTTAAAGATAGGTTGCCAGGCAACGAAACATACGCCCACATCAGCTAAATAGTCTGGGCAGTCAACAAGAGTTGTCGCATATTTTTACTTTTTTTGGTAATGAAACATTTATAATACACTAAAATCTGATTAAGAGCAACAAATCAGAAAACCATTAGAATTTGTTTGTTTTTTAAATTTAAAATCAAAAGGATATAATAACTTTGGCCTCTAGAGAGTCCACAAGATTTTTTTGAAGTGATCAAGAGCCATAACTCTGGCAGTAATTATCAGAAATCGCTGAAAATCAATAGGCTTCTTCGTCTCATGACCTTAAACACTGTGTATAAATTTAAAGTCAATCGGATCTTAACTTTGGCCTCTAGAGCGTCCACAAGATCTTTTGAAGTGATCAAGGGCCATAACTCTGGCAGTAATTATCAGAAATCGCTGACAATCAATAGGCTTCTTCGTCTCATGACCTTAAACACTGTGTATAAATTTAAAGTCAATCGGATATTAACTTTGGCCTCTAGAGCGTCCACAAGATCTTTTGAAGTGATCAAGGGCCATAACTCTGGCAGTAATTATCAGAAATCGCTGACAATCAAAAGGCTTCTTCGTCTCATGACCTTAAACACTGTGTATAAATTTAAAGTCAATTGGATATTAACTTTGGCCTCTAGAGCGTCCACAAGATCTTTTGAAGTGATCAAGGGCCATAACTCTGGCAGTAATTATCGGAAATCGCTGAAAATCAATAGGCTTCTTCGTCTCATGGCCTTAAACACTGTATATAAATTTAAAGTCAATCGGATATTAATTTTAGCCTCTAGAGCGTCCACAAGCAATTGTGGACGCCGGACCGACGGACGGGGGCGACGACAATATACATGTACGACCACATTTCAATGTGGGCGTATAAAAACCGATTGTCAGGAAAAAAAATCTATCCCCACAGTAAGTAAGTCATATGGGCAGTATAACGGCAAGATGCTTAAAATGGATAACAATTTTAAATCAATCCGATAAAAACTTAAGTCACAAGAAGATCCAATCAGGGACAATAACTCTGTCAATAATTATCAGCTGCTTCATTTCACGAACAAAACCACTGTTTAGAAATTTTAAGTCAATCGTATAACTTTAGTCTCTAGTGCGTCCACAATATTCTTCAAATAGATCAAAGTTATCTCCCTTACATATCAAATATTGAGAAATGTTTTCCCTTTTAGAATTTTCCAGATTGTGACATTGAATAAATGAAAAGGGTTTTTAACGTCCTACTGTTCTGCTCAGACTGGGCTAATGAAGACGGGCACACGCCGTACAGTGTGCTATGAAGGAAATTTTGCCCGGGCAGCAGCAGTACGGCCTACTCTTACTTCAAATTCTAACTGCCAAGGGATCTTTTACATGCATGCCAATGTGTACACGGCACCTGGGTTCTTCATCCCATCCTGACAACTAGACAGCTGTCCTTGTCTGTTGCACCAGATACAGGGGAACCATGCCGGTAAATCCTGATAAACTTTCTCGACCAACACCGGGAGCGAACCCGCAACTTCCAGACTAGCGATCCAGCATCTTACTCACTTAGCCACTGTGGCTTAACACATATAAAGTTTCTAGATCATTCATGATGTAGCAAATCAGTACGAGGAATTCTGTCTGTCATCATTAGAAATAAGACAGGGATAACTATAGTTCATCATTTTGCTACCTATTTGATCATCTTTTCTTACAGACTAATCAATGCTAAAAATATAACATTAAATATAGAAAACTTACCCCAAGAACTTGTTGTTGTGGCTGGTACATTAACCCTGTGCTCGGGAAGTTACTGGTTTGATTCATATACATCATTGGATACATTGGTTGTTGATTAGCCTGACTAGGCGATGCCATATATGGTCTTGTGGACCTCATATTTGGAGCTTGTTGCGATTGAGTGTAGTATGGCTAAAACACAAAACAAACGGTTGTTTGGTGTTAAAAATAGACGAAGATCTCAGCATGGGACTTATAATTTCTTGAAGTGACCATCGAAAAAACTTAAATTATCAACAGGGGTTTGTAAAATTATCACCTATGTGGACATTAGTTAAACTACAAGACAATATCAGTAACGAGGAATTCATCTGTCATCATCTAATATAAGACAGGGATAACTTCAATCATCATTTTTGCCTTGAATTTAAGTGTTAAGGTGGGGAAGATACCTGTAAAATGTCTTTAAATTACAAATCTACTGAATTGAAAATGGTACAAGTAGTGGAGGCAAACAAAAGAATCAGAAAACAAAAAGAAAATATAGATCTGTATTTTAATCTGATTGAGGGATGGATGAGGTCAGCTAGATGGATGGGATGGATGAGGTCAGCTGGATGGATGGGATGGATGAGGTCAGCTGGATGGATGGGATGGATGAGGTCAGCTAGATGGATGGGATGGATGAGGTCAGCTGGATGGATGGGAAGGATGAGGTCAGCTGGATGGATGGGATGGATGAGGTCAGCTAGATGGATGGGAAGGATGAGGTCAGCTGGATGGATGGGATGGATGAGGTCAGCTGGATGGATGGGATGGATGAGGTCAGCTGGATGGATGGGATGGATGAGGTCAGCTAGATGGATGGGATGGATGAGGTCAGCTGGATGGATGGGATGGATGAGGTCAGCTGGATGGATGGGATGGATGAGGTCAGCTGGATGGATGGGATGGATGAGGTCAGCTGGATGGATGGGAAGGATGAGGTCAGCTAGATGGATGGGAAGGATGAGGTCAGCTGGATGGATGGGATGGAGGAGGTCAGCTGGATGGATGGGATGGATGAGGTCAGCTGGATGGATGGGATGGATGAGGTCAGCTGGATGGATGGGATGGATGAGGTCAGCTAGATGGATGGGATGGATGAGGTCAGCTGGATGGATGGGATGGATGAGGTCAGCTGGATGGATGGGAAGGATGAGAAGGATGAGGTCAGCTGGATGGATGGGAAGGATGAGGTCAGCTGGATGGATGGGATGGATGAGGTCAGCTGGATGGATGGGAAGGATGAGGTCAGCTGGATGGATGGGGTGGATGAGGTCAGCTAGATGGATGGGATGGATGAGGTCAGCTGGATGGATGGGAAGGATGAGGTCAGCTGGATGGATGGGAAGGATGAGGTCAGCTGGATGGATGGGAAGGATGAGGTCAGCTGGATGGATGGGATGGATGAGGTCAGCTGGATGGATGGGAAGGATGAGGTCAGCTGGATGGATGGGATGGATGAGGTCAGCTGGATGGATGGGATGGATGAGGTCAGCTGGATGGATGGGAAGGAGTTTAGGTTGGTTGGAGATGAGATCAGGTTGGTTGAGTGAATTTCTTTAACATTTGCCTGTTGTGCACCAACCTGGGAAACTTGTAACCCAATCTGAATGAAAATATGTGAATAAGACCTACCTGAGGTGGGCGTATACTAGGAGTAAATATACCGGGCTGTTGGGGAATTCCTTGTTGTGGTATGTGACCCGACGCCACAGCCTGTTTATTCATATCATGTGGAAGGCTTGCAGGAACGGCAAACCCCTGCTGTAAATAGTAAATAAAACTTCAATAATATATATATAACTTGAAATATAGGTTGCCAGGCAATGAATCATACCCACAGCAGCTAAATCGTCCGTGCAGTCGACATGGGTAGTCATTTCTATGCTTTCGTAAAGAGAAAAACCACGAGGTTGGACAGGCAACCCTACTCCTTGTCACGTACAACCAGGGATTTGAAACCACGCCAACTGACTCAATGACAGGCTTTATAATACAGCGCGCACACACTTACCATTCGGCCATTCAACCCCAAAGACACTGATCGACATATTCCTGAAGCAATGGTCCGAGATATCCCTCTCTGGCCATTGCTGGATTGGCTTTTGAGGGAGTGTGTCTATTCTTCTAGTTCAATCAAATCTACATGTATCCCAAGTACAGCAACATGACAGCCTTTTGTTTAATCTGGGGTCTTCCCTAAAACTTTGGACAGTGATGTATAGTATTACAAACGGTGAAGCATTGTTCGTCTCCAAACAGTATTGTTTACATTGTATCGTTTGTCACGCAATTAGTTTTTCTGCAATATTCCGCTATGCACTGGTTAATTGGGCGTAATAAAATAGTGAGTCATGATGTAATGTTATGTAAACATATTTGGTCCATTTGGAGCTATGTTTAAAGCGTAATGATACTGTTACACAGTTAGCTATTGGTTGTTATTCGGAATATTGACCAGTCATAAATTGGAACAGAAATTTGCTTGCATTACAGCAGTGTTAAGTGGGATTAGCTCTAATCAAACGAAACACTGCAAGGAGTATGGAGACGGTGGTGTTTTCAATGAATTTCAAGGAGTGTGGGAAGCTTGACCAACAAACCCTATTACAAACATGCGGACAAGAAATGGGGTTTAACGTCCACTCGACACAAACTAGGTCATTTCGCGACTAACATATGGTTTAATTCTATTTCAATAATTCGTTTGCGCGTGGGGGTCTTTAGCTGTGGGAGGAGACCGGAGGACCCGGAGAAAACCCACGAGGTTGGACAGGCGACCCTACTCCTTGCCACGTACAACCGGGGATTCGAAACCCTGCCAGTTGACTCAATGACAGGCTTTATGATACAGCACACACGTGATAACCATTCGGCCATCCAACCCCCCCCCCCCCCCCCCGAAATAAAAGCATAACAAACAACACAAACAGTGAGGCATACATCCACTGTCTCTCTCTCCATATAAATAGATGACAATGCCAACTTGTACAGGTACAATCTAATAGTTGTGCACATCAAAAGCCAACTTGTACAGGTACAATCTAATAGTTGTGCACATCAAAAGCCAACTCGTACAGGTACAATCTAATAGTTGTGCACATCAAAAGCCAACTCGTACAGGTACAATCTAATAGTTGTACAGGTACAATCTAATAGTTGTACACATCAAATACCAACATTGTATATGGGCAATGAAAGAGTTAATTACTTGTAGATTTATCTTTCTATAAAGCAATTAAATTGTAAGTCTGAGTAGAAGACTTGACTCATTATTGAGGTTAATCATCCTATTGATAAAATGATACCAGGCACTCAATATTATCGTCTTCCAATGTCCCGGGTTACCTCCCTTCTAAGAGGTATCATAGACTACATATAGATACTTTTTAGCCTCCTCCCTCCCCAAAACACATTGTGAATTAAGTGAATAATGTTTCTAGAATCTATCTGTAGCAAATCAGTACGAGGAATTCTGTCTGTCATCATTAGAAATAAGACAGGGATAACTATAGTTCATCATCTTGCTACCAAATTAACAATATATATTGATGTACATGTAAAGTACATACTAGCTTCAGATATCATCATGGTTTTGTGATTCATCTTGGTTAATTTTGAGTGCCGACGACATTGTACATATTGTGATATTTACCAAGCTTAAGGTGAAAGAATTTACGCTTTATGAGCAGGATTCAACTAGCTTTCTTCAATGGTTACAAACTGTATTGTTTTAGCTAAATGTAATTTTCTGTACACATGGAAATACCTAGGGTTAGGGGAAACATGTACGCTGTATATGCAGGCCTGGAAATAACAGTTTTAGATGTACCTGACAAAATGTCAGGCACTAATGAAATAGTTCCTGACAGGACATGTATTAATAATATCAGTGCCCGACAAATGACAGACACCAGAGGTTCTGTGCCCGACATTGTCAGTGACGGGTGCCTTCTTTCCAGACTTGCAATATATCTGGAAATAAGGCCTTACGGTTATTTTTTATTCTCACTTTGATTCTACTAAATATTTTTTCTGGTTTTCTTTCACATATTTTGGATTTAAAAATGACAAAATGTTACAAACATACAGATTTCACTTGAATTTAAATCATCTTGGTAACAAGTAATTCTATGTAATTTTATTAGACAGAATGATTGAGGCAATATCAGTAACGAGGAATTCATCTGTCATCATTAAATATAAGACAGGGATAACTTCTGTCATCATTTTGCCTTCACCATTATTAAACTGTTTCAATGGCATTTAGTAATCATAGCTTGATAATGACTAGAGAAGCCTAGTCGAAACGTCGCTCAGTAAAAAGCAGTAATTGTATTCCATAGAATTGTGACCTGTATTCACCATTATTAAATGGGGATAATTATAAATATAACATACTTATTAGATCGGCACAGATTTCCATTAGTTGTCCAAGAGAATAATCATAATAAACACAGCAAGTCTTTGAAAAATTGTGGCACCAAATTTGTAAAATGAAATGGGGTTTAACATCCTACTGTCCAAGTTTGTAAATTAAATAAGCTCTCGAGAAAGTTAGATCTGTACATGCACGTATAGTTTGCCAAATAACAAAACATACACAAACAGCAGCCTACAAGGGTGTCACATATTTATACGCCCATATTGTTGTCGCACCTGTTCGTGAACAATTTGTTTGTGGTCACTCTACAGGTCACAATTCTTATCCGATTTTAACGAAAATTGAAATATAGGTTGATCTCCGAAAGATCTTGGTTCCTTTCGATATTGGCATGTATCGGACCGTAACTTCATGGGTTATGGTCCATGATTGTATGAAACATCATATTTTCAGCTTGTGGACACTCTAGAGGTCACAATTTTCATCTGATTTTGATGAAACTTAAAAAGTATGTTTATAATCCAAAGATCTTGGATCCTTTCGATATGTGCGCATATAGGATCTTAACTTACTGAATTATGACCCTTGACTGTACGAAAAATCGCGTTTTTAGCTTGCAGTCGTTCTAGATTTCTTTTGTTGATATCATTAGGTAATGAAAGAATTTACAAGACATTAAAAACTGAGAAAACAAGATATTCGAAGTTAACTGTTCAAGTTATCGGACATCGTGGAAAATCAAGCTTCTTTGTCTGATGATATTAACACTTCAATATTAACTTTGGCAATTATAGGTGACGGGACAGGCGTGGGCGACGACAATATACAACATACATAACGAGCAGCTGCCAGGTAGAATACGCTCACATTTTTCAAGAGATGGATAGAAAACAAGCTAAACAAGAAGCGATTTTACGTAACATCAAGGGCCATAATTCAGGAAGTTACGATCCGATATGTGCGAATATTAATAGTAACCAAGATCTTTGGGTTATAAACATGCTTTTCAAGTTTCATCAAAATCGGATCAAAATTGTGACCTCTGGAGAGGTTTACATTATTTGTATAGAGGGGCGGCCATTTTGTCTGGCAGTTTTCGTCCGATTTAGTGGATTTTTAAACAGATCAGAAAACAAGATTGTTTTGTTTGACTGTTACATGGCGATAAATTCAAGTCTGGAAATAAGGCACCCGTCACTGACAATGTCAGGCACAGATTCAGACACAAAACCTCCGGTGCCTGTCATTTTGTCCGGCACTGATTTGTCTTCTTTAATATTATTAGTCCTGCACTAAGTTGAAAATGTCCGGTATCATTTCATTAGTGCCTGACATTTTGTCAGGTACATCTAAAACCAGTATTTCCAGGCCTGGATAAATTGCTGAGCAAAATCAAGTTGTGTAAAATATGAATCCGAGTTGAGTCCCGTACATTCTAACGAGTGTCCCATTTTTCAAAGTTTATATTAATACCTGTACGTAATTTTATTCATGGTCGAGGCAATATCAGTAACGAGGAATTCATCTGTCATCATTAAATATAAGACAGGGATAACTTCAGTCATCATTTTGCCTTCACCATTATTAAGAGATAGAGAAATAGGGATCAACTAGTGCTGGCACGATATCATGGAATCGATGTATCAGGATTCACCTTATGATTTGGATATTGAATCACAAGACGTTGAATCATGTATCGTGTTCTTTCTTTTATGAATTTTTGTCGCTTCAAGTAAGCTATCACTCATATTAATTATCCATCGGTACACAAACACTCTTAAATTGTTTTGGTCCTTATTTTCAATTTTTCATCCACATCAAGATCATGATATAAAACAGTTTAAATTCTTCGACATCGACAAAACTAAACTATCATGTATCCTGTTTTCTTGGTCAATACTGACCTGGTTATGAATCATAGCACAAGAATCCCAAATCCTATTGTATTGTGACTACAGTGGAGAGAGAGAGAGAGAGAGAGAGAGAGAGAGAGAGAGATGGCCACTTGACACCAACTAGGTCATTTCGAGACTAACATATTGTTGAACTTTTTTTTCAATAATTCCCTTGCACGTAGGGGTTTTTAATGGGAGAAAAACGGTGGTAGGCTGCAAAGGGTGTGAGACTTTTTGGGAATTTTCAAATCTATTTTTAGAACTGAAAAATACTAAAATTATAATTATTTACTGGAATTTCCCTTTTCTCTTTTACTTTCATCTATATAAACTATTAAAACTTATTTAACCATGTTTAATAGTTGTGTTCTAAATGGTAAAACTAAAGAGATAAATTTATGTAAATTCTCCTCTCAAAGGTATACAAAAAAATGCCAGTGTTGGGAATTTTCAAATCACATTTTTATAACTATTTTCTCTTTCAT